CCAGGAAAGGCCAGGGCTGGTGGAGTGGCTGGGTGGCTCTTGTCTGAGCACAGTTCTGTGCAGAGCCCTCTCCACTTCACTGTTTGTAGTGGTGTTGGCCTTAGTGCTTCGTGGAGGAAATTTCTTTAGGTAGTTATCTTTAAGTGGAATGTCCATGATCACTGATGATGATGGACAGTGGAACCACTGGTGTTTCACAAAGGCAGAAAGTCTGGGTAATGGACATGATGATTATTAGTACAAGGACTAGAGGCATGGCTCAAGTGGTAGAGTGCAAGCCAAACAAGTGCCCTGGGTTCAAATCCCAGTGCTGCCAAGACAAATCTGAGACATGACTGTTGCTACGGTGTGATGACTGTTGTGCTCAAATGTTTACATGCTTGTTTAGTGTTCACAATAACCCTAAGCCACTGAGTAAGGACTTACCTCCATTTTACTAAAAAGAAAACCCAGACTCAGAGAGGTTGAGTAACTTGCTCAAATCCATCCAGCTGTGCAGGGTAGCAGATCAGCATGCTATCCTTTGGCCTGTTGCTGGAAGAAAGAAGGATGAGAGAAGGAAAAAGAAAGGAGAAGGGAAAGAAGGGATGGAAAAGGAAAGAAGGAGAGAATGGAGAAAAGGAGAAAGAAAGAGGGAAAAGGAAGGAAGAAAAGAAGTGAGGGAGAAGAAGGAGGGAAGGAAGGAAGAAAGGAAGGAAGGAAGGAAGGAAGGAAGGAAGGAAGGAAGAACACAAGGGTATCTACTGGGATTGTACCAGACATTGTGCTAGATTCAGTCTAACATTCTTGCAGGGAGAGGAGCAAGGGTTGCACAAATTTAATTCAACAACCATACAAATTGAGTTTCTGTCCCCACTTTTACAGATGAAAAACTTCAGGCTAAAAGAGGGTAAAAACAGGGCTGGGAAGGTGGCCCAGTGGTAGAGCGCTTGCCTTGCATGCCTGAGGTCCTGGGTTCGATTCCTCGGCACCACATAAGCAAAAAGAAAAAAAAAGCCAGAAGTGGCGCTGGGGCTCAAGTGGTAGAGCGCTAGCCTTGAGCTGAACAGCTGAGGGACAGCGCCCAGGCCCAGAGTTCAGGCCCCACGACCAGACCCCCCAAAAAAAGAGGGTAAAACATGGGTCCCCAGTCACAGTACCAGTCTGAGTAGAGTCAGGAATTCGATATGGGTCTGGCTGCCCCAGCTTACCCAACCTTGTACTAAGCAAGTAGAAATTTCTCTCCAGCATACCTGCCTGAGCTTAACAAGTTAAGAGGCCCAGGCTCCATCCTGCTCACATGCCTCTGTGGCACCAAGTTCAGCCTCATCAACCATGTGAGTCTGTTCCCTGGTGGAGGGGAAAGGACCCTACACATCCCCCTGCTGTGGACACCTGTCATCACAGGCTGGAATTGGCAAGCTGTAAACAGCCCTGTGGCCAAACACATGTCTTCACCATCTCCTCCTAGCTCTGCCCATGGAATCGGAGCCAAAACTGTCTTCCGTAATTAGTTTGCCTTTGCTGGGGCCTCCTTGGGGGTCCCAGCAGCCGAAGGGAGGTTTTAGCAGGATTGAGCTGACTGCAGCCAGAGGCTTTCTCTACCTTTCTGCAAGCAACAGGGATGCAACAGAGGGGGACAGAGACCGAACTCAGGAACCAGAAGAGCTGAGATCAAGGTCCAAAGTCACATGGCCCCATTTTCTTACCAGAAAAGTTACTCATGCCTGCCCTACCTGCTGCATCAAGGTATCTTGTGGTCAGATGCCCTGGAGTTCAAGTTGATCCAAATTGGGTCCCTGGTAGTCCTTGCTTTGGCTTTGTAGGAACTCAGAGTACTAACTATAAGGACAACTACTTAAAGATAATAATTTTTGGAAAGTACCTCCCCCCCCAAGAAAAAAAGTTCACCAAGTGTTGCCTTGAAGAATGCATGAGAACCACTGCTTAATCCTTTTATCTCCAGATATTTGATGGTACATTCTCTCCACTCTCCTCTGAACCCTTGTTACAACCTTGGTCTGGTGTGGGGCCTGGAGAATTAGAGAATGGCTTTTCACAGTGTCCTTTGTCAAATCTGCAGGACTAGACAGAGTTCCTTAGCTACAGTGAGGACACTTGTCAAGCATCCAGTAAGTTCTTCTGACCTTCTTCTGAGTATTCAAGATGATTATCTAGGAAAGGAAATGACCAGAGAAGGTGGACTTGTTGGGAGCACACAGGAGAGGCCTTCCCTCCCCTGCCCCGCCCCCATCGCTGTGAACTGCCTGTCTCCCTGGCTGTTCATTCTTACCCAGGCCACATGGCTGTCTAAACTTCTCCTTTTCACCTAAGGAGATGGAGGCTGGTTTTTCTGGACTGGATGCTGAACTTCAGTCTCACAGATGCTGGGAACTAGCCCCTATAGACTGTCTGGGGAGGTGTGAGGAAGGGTGGGGAGAACTCTAGGATGAGGGTTTGGGGTGAGGGTTATTAGCAAAGTTGGGAGACAGTGGCTTGGCAGTTATTTCCTCTGGAAGCCTGCCTTCATTAAGTACTGATTGACCATACAGTACTTTGTCTCCAACCCAGTGAGAGTGCAGAGCCCCTTCACCAAGGGAGAAAATCTTTGTATTAGAAAGAGCACATTTCCAGCCTAGTGAACACCGCAGGCTCCTCTCAGCTCACTATGTCAGGTTCTCAGGGATTTCTGCAAGTGCCAGCAGCTGGTTTCCCTCTTGCCCCCAGCCACCTGTCTGCCACTCCTTTTGTGATCACTGAGGAAGGAAAGACATTTCCTAACTTCCACTCCCTCTTGACATCTGGACAGCAATGCTGCATTGGCCTTCAGGCTCATCCATATTCTCCTGACACGTCTCTTTACCTCTGTTTGAGACTCTTTCCCTCCCTCCCTCCCTCCCTCCCCCCCTCCCTCCCTCTCTCTCTCTCTCTCTCTCTCTCTCTCCTTTCTCTCTTTCTCTCCCTGAAAAGACATGGCCTTTGTGCCTTCTCTCATCTTCCACTCTGCCTTACAGAGTGATTGTTGTGAGAAACATCGAAAAACAAAGGACACAGTGTCCTTGCAACAGCAGCATCACGAGGATGTTACTCCTCAGCCCCCTGGCGATTGTCTTGCATTATTCTTCATAATGTCCCTGGGCTGCATCTAATCAGCCTGTTTCTGAGTTTCTCCAAACAATGTCTTTTTTTTTTCTTCTCTCCTCTCTGTCCTCAGCTCATACTGCCAGGCCGCGTGCCAGGGACACGCATGTTTCCCAGCCTCATTCCCATCTTCCCTCTCAGTCCCAGTACAGTCTCAGTCCACATTTATCTCCACGAGACTGGCCTGCTAAGGCATGTCCCACGGTAAGTATGCAAATCCAGAGAAAAACAGGCCACAGCAAGAAAAAAAACACTGACACTTCAAAACCAGGAATGGGGCTGGGAAGGTGGCTCAGTAGTAGAGCACTTGCCTTGCATGCTGGAAGCCCTGGGTTCGATTCCTCAGCACCACATAAGCAGAAAAAAAAAGCTGGAAGTGGCGCTGTGGCTCAAGTGGTAGAGTGCTCGCCTTGAGCTGAAGAGCTGAGGGACAGCACCTAGGCCCAGAGTTCAGGCCCCACGACCGGACCCCCCCCCCAAAAAAAGAAACAAAACCAGGAATGGTGGTTCATGCCTGCAATCCCAGTACTCAAGAGTCTCAGGCAGGAGGAGCAAAAGCTTGAGGTATCTTGGGTTATAGAGCAAGACCAAATAAACTAAACTTTCAAATAATATTTTTAATATTAAAGAAAATCTTTAGACTTTACTAGGATATGTCCTCACTTGGTCTGTCTGTGTGCCAGACTAGCACACATCTGGTTTGGCATGTGGTATGTCCTCAGGTAAAGGAGGTTGCCAGGAGACTATGGTATAACCCCTTATCTTTGTCTATGTCCACATAATGTAGAGTATAGTGCTTCATTTATAGGACTTTTATAATGTATAGTTTACTGATCCAAGCCTTGCAAAGTTATGTGACTAGAAAATTCCCGTAGAGAAACAGTGGGTTCAAAATATACCAATGGCATAAGTGCAAGTAATCATAAAAGTATATTGCTGATATTTCTCATGATGACATGCCTTGAACATGTGATTAGTCAGATTACGAGGTTAAAATTACATATGACCCAAAAGGATCAAAAAGACTATAATATATAGATTTATATCTGCTATGATTAATAATAAATCATGCCTTGGGTTTATAATGTGCCTGATGAGAGCATCTATTGATGAATAATTGTGAGCTGGGTACAGGTGGTTTACACCTATAATCCTAGCTACTCAAGAGCTGAGATCTGAGTATCATAGTTCAAAGTCAGCCCAGGCAGGAAAGCCTATGAGATTCTTATCTCTAACTATCCACCAAAAAGCTGGGTGGAGCTGTGGCTCAAGTGGTAGAGGGTTAGCCCTGAGCAAAACAGCTCAGGGACAGTGCCCAGACCCCACGTTCAGTCCCAGGACTGTCATAAATTTTTAAAAAGCTACAAGGATTACAGACACACGTATAGTTTGCATTAATATGATGGCATTTTCACTTAAAATCTACTCTCGGTGATTTTCAAGTACAGAATACATTGTTATTAATTACAGTCACCATGTTGTATAACCATGTTGAACGTATTCTTCCTATCTACCTGAGGTTTGTATCCTTTTACCAACAACTGCACAAACTACTCCTACCTCACCTCAGCCCCTGGTACCCTGTGGTCCACTATTTTTGCCTCTGTGGACTTACCTTTTGTAGATTCCATGTAGAAGTAGGATCATGTTGTATCTTCCTGCGTCTGGCCTATTTCTCCCAATATCACTATTCATATAATCAAGGTGGACCAGAAGAAGCCTGGCTAGAGTCAGGTAGAATAGCTGTCTAGGGTGATGGTTGGGGGGGTCCCATGGCTGTTGAGTGGACTAGATCTCCAGACTGCACCCACTTCCCAGCATGGGTGACAGAGGAACCCAAGGGCCCTCCAGTGATACCTATCTGTGTCTTTACTCCTTAGCCTCCCCAGTAATTGAAAATGGCCAGCTGGAGTGTCCCCAAGGGTACAAGAGACTGAACCTCACTCACTGCCAAGGTAAGCACAATCCAGACCAGGCCTGAAGTAGGGGCGGGAAATAATGAGGCCTATTGACACAGAAGCAACACCATTCATTCTTATATAAGAAAAGCACTGTGGCTGCCTAGGTGGCCTCCGCTGGACATCTCTAAACCCCACCTTGGAGAAAAGTTACTGGCTTCTTGTTCCAGAGGTTGGAGGACATTGGAAACTTGCTTGAGAGTACAAAAGAGAAAGCCAAGGCAATTGAGGCTCCCCCCCCCCCGCACCATCTCCACCCCACACACACTCAGAATTTGGCCAGGTATCCTGGGGGCTATGTGAAATGCCTGAAGGTGCCATTCCTCTCCCACACATCTATTCACCTACTGGCTTTCCTGGAACAGAAGAGATTTCTGCTAGGTCAGCCTGAGCTGGTAGAAACCTCTGGGCTTGTTGCAACAGAATATCTTTAGCTGCTCAGGCCTCCCTCCCACCAGCCTCAGCCCGTATACAGGAAGGGCAAGAAGGGACAGGAGGTATACAGGAGGTATACAGAGCAGGACAATGAATCTTGGTCCTTCTCTGGCCTTGCTGGCCTGGTTGAGGGCTCTGTAGGCCAGCTGAGTTGAGCCCACCACTAAGGAGGGCTGAATGGTTGTGGCTTTGTCACTACTAGGGGCTCAGAAGGGGTAAAGAGCGGAACCTGGTTGGCCAATGGGTCAGAAGTCTTTACTGAGGGGCAGTGTCTTCCCCTGAGCTGGTTCCCTGCCCTGCTGGTGAGGAGGGAGGGCTGTAATGTGGCCAAAGGACTTCTGTCCCTGAGAGTCTCCTGAAACCGGAAACATTAGCAAGAAGCTCTCATGCTCTCTCTCTCTGTCTCTCTGTCTCTTGTCTCTTGATCTCTGTCTCTGTCTCTATGTCACTGTCTCTATCTCTCTATCACTCTGTCTCTCTGTCTCTGTCTCTGTCTCTCTCTCTCTCTCTCTTTCGCTCTCTCATCAGTTGTGAGGCATAAAGTCAGGGCCTGGTTGCTATCCCTAAGCTTTTCTGCTCAAGGCTAGTGCTCTACCACTTTGAGCCACAGCTCCACTTCTAGTTGTTTTTTTTTTTTTCTGGTAGTTAATTGGAGATGAGTCTCATGGGCTTTCCTGCCTGAGCTAGCTTCAAACTGAAATCCTCAGATCTCAGCCTCCTGAGTGTCTAACTTTGAACTTCTCTTTTGAGAGTTTCAACAACCAAACAGATACTTGTCTGTAAGACTCACCTTGAGTAAAGCTCCATGGGAGACCAGGGCATTGCCCCAGATTACACTAAGGTGCTTTCCCCCTCAAAAGTTTATTTTATAGTGAGGAGGCTGATGGAAGTTGGGTGGCTACTGTCGACCTTTGGGAACACCAGTCTGCAGAAGAGATTTCTAGTTTACCAGACCAAGGGCAAGGCAAGGCAAGGCAGCCTCTCTTGGGGTCATGCACCTTAGGGAAGTATACTAAGGACCTAGGGAAGAGTGAGTATGGGAAGAACTCTCTGTTACTGCCCTTGTTAGCATATCAGGGCTGTTCATGTCTGCCTTGTCCCAGTCTTCTTCTCCTGGCAGGTTTTTCCATCTGGACCATTAAGGCCATTCTCAGGATCTAAATGAACTTCCTCCTCTGCCTCCACAGAGCCTCTGGGATACAGGATACCAAGCCACACCCCAGAAGGACCCACCTCTGAAACCTTCCCATTCCCATATGGTGACTGTGGTCTGTGGTCTCCATGTCTGGGAAGGGGCTTGCTGCCTCTGTAACCACATATACCATCCCTCCTTTCTCTACAGACTTCCTTCCTGTTTTCACAGAGTTGGGGAATAGAGAGTTATGTCTACTATGCTAAGAATTAAGTACACAGTGATGTGAAAGGCACAGTCTTCCCTATGTAACCTAAATGGTTATACTACGAGAGATGGTTTTTGATGAGTGTTATGGGATCTCTTGGTAGAACGCAACCCAGGCTGGGAAAATCAGGTTCTCCTTCCTGGAGAGGTTATACCCAAGTCAAGTCTTTAAAACTGAACACAAGTTGGCTAGCTGAAGAGGTTCAGACCTTCTATGTAGAAGAATAAGCAAAGGAACAATTTGGGCAACCCCCCCAGATATGCCAGTGTTTACCTTAGGCTCTGGGAAGGGCCTTAGATATCATGTTACGGTTTAGGAGTTTATGGTAGAACTATCACTCTGGCCAAACTCTAGAGGCATTTCCCAGGCACCTCTGTCCTGATAGGCATCCTACTAAGGAATAATTCCCCTTGGTGCCCAAACTGAATCATTTTTTAGCCCCTTATCCTATGTGGGTTTCCCTGAAGCTGTAGGTGAGCAGGTAACTCTGAGACAATGGGCTTCCTGAACTACCTCCTGGCCCTGGAGGTGATGCCTCCACAAACCTTCCCTATTCAGCACGCATGCTACCAACACAGCCAGCCAAGATGCTCCCCAATTCTTGGAGCTTGGCGTTGTGAGGCTGGGGGCTTGGTTCTTGTTCTTGGCAGCATGAGAAGGTTTAAACATCAAGATCAAAGCTAATGTGTGTCCTTGTCCAAGGAAGGGCCTGAGCCTCCACTGGTTTCAGAAGGTATACAGACTACCTAAGGACCTACATAGATACCGTCCTAGTCCCCTGCCTCTGCCCACCCTTACTGGTCCTGTCCCTCAGTACCTCTCCTGCTTCCACCTACCTGCTGACATGCTCTTCAGGGTCTTGGGCCCTGCAGAAGTGCTCAGAGACCTCTCAAGAAAGTCAATTTGCCTATTCACCGTCATCCAACCTAGACAGTCCCTCTTGCCTATTTCCTCTGTTTATACCCTACTTGTCAGACTCACAAGAGCTGAGTGACTGGGCAAGTTACTCCTATAAACTGAGAACACATCGACCTACGTGATCACACTCTTTTGTGAGAACTAATGGGGTCTCGTACATTAATATCTAGTATATTATGCAGCACAGAATAGGCATCCCTAAAATGTTAGCTCTTCACATTAAGATCATCATTAGTGCTGATTACTGAACTAAATACTTTGCAATTTTTCTTCCTAACAACATTGTCCACTAATTACTTATTATCCTCACAGATGAGAAAACTGAGTCACAGCTCAATAGACCACATTTAATAGATAGCAGCTCTCTTTTTCTTGTTTTATTTGGAGAAAGCATTCAAAGGTCTCTGCGCAGACCCTCCCCACCATTGGACCTTGATGGGGAAGATACTTGGTCATCTTGTCCACCTTTACAGATATCAATGAATGCTTGACCCTGGGCCTGTGCAAGGACTCAGAATGCATAAACACCAGGGGCAGCTACCTGTGCACGTGCAGACCTGGCCTCATGCTGGACCCATCTCGAAGCCGCTGTGTCTGTGAGTACTGGGCAGGCGGGGGGATGGGGGGAGGGGAGGGACAGAGGCGGTGGCATCCTCCAGGGATAGGGGCTCCTTCTAGGCATGCAGGCTAGCTCCAGAGTAGTAAAGTTCCCCAGGCCTCAGCTCCCCATGACTCAGGTTTATGTTTGCTACTCATTTTGGATTTGGGCCAATGTACTAATCTGCACATCTGCCTGGGAAGGCCTCACTTTCCACTCTTCATTTCTTTTCAGGGACATCGTGGCAGTTTGAGATTCAGGTTTCCTACTTCTAGTATTTTTCTTTCTGGTCCTCTGTGTCTCCTTTGCTGCCCCATCAACCCTGGGAAGCATGTATTGCTTCTGCTATGGGGTGTGGCTAAGTCTTAGCTCCTGAGCTTAGCAGCCTGGTCATATGACTACTTAAGTGTCCTTTCTTAAATGTCTATCCAAAGATCAGTGGTGTCACTGCTCCATCCCAGGACCTTCCATACGCTCAGGATCTTTTCCAAATGTGTTTCCTCATTTACAAATACATACTTGTCACAACTTGTGAGCCTCAGTAATGTGAATGTGTGTGTGCATGCTTGTGTACCCCAGCAACTGTTTCCAGTGACCTCTGTGGTTTCCAGCCGAAAGAAACCCAGGCTGGCAGTCCCCCCAAACAGCAGAACTGACAACACAGCCCAGATGGGGCTTTGCTTAGACAGGAAGGCCTGACCAGAACTGAATAAATCCAGTTCTAACTGGCTTCAGGGACCAGGTCTCCTCCAGCTCAGAAGAGCTCCCTGTGGCTAGCCAAGTCCTGAGTTTGCAAACTGCCTAACACTGGCTTGGGGAAGGCCAGGGGGAGGAACAAGACTCTGGTGCCACCCAGAGGAAGTACTGATAGAAAGGGAAGCTGGATCTGGTGTGTCCAGGGAGAAGAGACAGAGAGATCCTTACTAAGAGCCACCAATAGTGAAGGATCCAGGAGGAGGGAATTTATCAGTTTATCATATGATCTAACTGATGATATGTGTGTGTGTATGTGCTATCTTTATATATATTGAAATATATAGATATGTAGATATTTGACTAGTCAGGCACTAGTGGTTCTGGTGGCACTAGTGCACCTATAGTCCTAGCTACTCAGGAGTCTGAAATCTGAGGATCCTGGTCAGAAGCCAACCTGGGCAGAAAAATCTGAGGTATTCTTATCTCCAATTAACCAACAAAACACTGGAAGCAGATGTGTGGCTCAAGGGGTAGAGTGCAAGTCTTGAAAAGAAAAAAAAAAGCTAAGCAAGAGCCCAAGGTTTTAAGTTCAAGCCTTAGTACTGACAAAAAAAGAAGGGGGAGAAGAAGGAGGGGGAAAAGGGGAAAAGAGGGGGGAGGAGGGAAAAAGAGAAGGAAAAGGAAGAGGAGGTGAAGGAGGAGGAGCATGAGGAGGATGTACGTATTTTGTGTCAGTGAGAATTGTCATCAAGGCTCTGATGGACATATAACTCTTCCTTCTCTTCAGGGTCAGATAAGATTCCTTTATCAGGCAGATGTGCTTAACAAACACTTAGCTCCTCTATTAGGCCCAGCAGAGATGGCTCTGGTTGATTTTTATTTGCTGTCTCTCCTCAGCATTGCTCCATTCAGCCTTTCCCAAAGATTCATTTTGCTATAGGTGGGAATAGGCAGGTGTTCCTAAGCATTGCCCTGTCTCCCTACCACCTGATCATGACTAGGAGAGCCATCTATGAAGCTGGTCCAGCTTTCTGAAAGTCCAGCTTGGGTTATCTCAACAGAGATTATACCTGCTCTCTTATTTCCTAGTTATACAGATCACTTATTCTCATCTGCTTAAGGCAGTTTGAGTTGGGTTTCTGTCACTTGCAATCCAAACACTTCTGACAGTAAGCCTTCTTCACAGTGTCATGAAAATGAAATACAGCAAGGTGTGTAAGAGCCCTGTCAAAGCTCACATGCTATCCCCAGGTAACTTACCAGCATTCCCTGAGCCCCAGATCTTCAGGTGCATCTCTGTCTCTAGCAATCACTTTCCTTGGGATACTAGAGGTATGACCTCTGTTATATCCAGGCACTCTCAACATGCTTGGAGTCTCTTGCTGTGTCAATTTACACCAGATTTTGGATGCCAGGCAGGCAGGCAGGCAGAAATACAAGTGTTTACCATGGCATGTTATTGCCATCATTACTTTATACCTAAAGAAATCAAGGCCTAGGAAGTCAGGTAGATCAAGGTAGTTTGAACTTGCTAAGTCCTAGTCCTGGTTCTGACCAAGAATCTCCAGCATCATTAATTCCTCAGCTTTGATTATTGTCTTCTTAATCCCATTCCTTGTCCACTGATAGTCTAGTTTCTCTCTAAGAATTTCAGTCTTTTCCAACCTGTTATAGCCTTCTTATTAGAGATAATATTCCAAAAAGCTGTTCTTTAATTTTATCATCAGAGTACAAAAAAGAGAACAATAGTGGTGGTATTGTTATGCCCTAAGCCCAGCATAGCTTAAACTCACTGGTACCCATAGGATTCCCATTCATGGATTTAATGGATTTTTCCTTCAATGTTGAGATCTTGAGTCTTGAGTACTCTAGGCAAACATTCTATCCATGAGCCACAATCCTAATCCTAAATTCAGTGTTTGCCTGATCCATTGACTTAATCATCCATCCATTGGCTCAACACATACTACTGAGTGTCCACATGCTCCAGACACAGTGAGTGGAGACAGAGTCCCTATCCTCATGACTCCCCATTAAGTCTTTCACTTCATCTCATCTTCCTAGTGAGGTTGCCCGTGACCCCCAAACCACACTATTCCCCACTAAAGCACACACATAGTCTTCAGTGAGCACTTTAACCACAGCACCTAGAGACAGATATCTCTAATCCCACATTTTTTTCTCAGGTTCTCTACCCAAGGAGTAGAGATCTGAGTGTCTCCTCCCTACTCAGCCATTCCTCCTACTGTTCTTTTTATTTACAGAGTCATATTATGTAGCGGAGGCTAGCCTAGATCTTTGATCTTCTTGTTTTAGCTTTCTGAATGTTGGAATTACAGGCATGTGCTGCCATGCCTGACTTTTTCTCCTAAACTTCTTTTTTTTTGGCGGGGGGTCCGGTCGTGGGCCTGAACTCTGGGCCTGGACACTGTCCCTCAGCTCTTCAGCTCAAGGCTAGCGCTCTACCACTGGAGCCAAAGTGCCACTTCCAGCTTTTTTCTTTTTGCTTATGTGGTGCTGAGGAATCGAACGCAGGGCCTCAGGCATGCAAGGCAAGCGCTCTACCACTGAGCCACCTTCCCAGCCCCTCTCCTAAACTTCTTGTTCTTGTAAGTGTTTTTTAAGCCCCAAATTTCTAGACTGAAAGGCTAGTCTGAGTGCATGTAACAGCCACACCTCCATTCACGGACCCCTGACTGCACTTTCCCTTCTTGTTGGTCTACTGCTCATTTCCACATATCTTATCTTTTGCAGCTGACAAAGCTGTCTCCATGCATCAGGGACTATGCTACCGGTCACTGGGGCCTGGCACCTGTACTCTGCCTTTGGCCCACCGAATCACTAAGCAGATATGTTGCTGCAGTCGTGTGGGCAAAGCCTGGGGCAGCAAGTGTGAGAAATGCCCCCCACCTGGCACAGGTACCCCCCCTACTCCCTTCTTAGCTCTGGCCATCAAGATACTTCCTCAAAACTAATGCCATTTCCCCAGCCTTGGTTGGATCTCCCTCAAGCCAGAAGACAAAGTCTTCCTTCCCTGTTCTAGTCTATATCCTAACCTGATGCTCCCTCCCTCCTTGCCACAATTGTCCTCACCCTAGAAGGAAGGAATGGGGGGACCTGGTTTCCTGCAGAAATGGCATTGCTCAGCTTGTCCTCTGGCTGTTGACTTTACAGAGGCCTTCAGAGAGATCTGCCCTGCTGGGCATGGCTACACCTACTCAAGCTCAGACATCCGCCTGTCCATGAGGAAAGCTGAGGAGGAGGAACTGGCCAGACCCTCCCGGGAGCACACACAGAAGAGCAGTGGGCCTCTGCCCAGCCCAGCTGAGAGGCAGCCACTCCGGGAAGCCATGGACACCTGGCTTGAGGCTGACAAAGGTATCTCAACTGGGAGAGATAGCTGAAAGACTCTCCTTTCCCTTAAGGTTGTAGTACCTCAGAGATACTCACTGTGTATCCTGAGTTCCTTGGGTTCCCTCTCTGCAGCATAGGAAAGGGAGCTTGGAGCAGCAACACCCAGCCCTGGAAACCCCTGTCATGATTTGACATGACAAGAATATCTCTCTCTCTTTCCCTCTCCTATATGGAATCAGGAGGTATCCACATCCCAAGGGTTGCTTGAGGAGTTGAGAGAGGTTAGCTGTACCTCTACCCAGAGGATCAGAACTCTCCATCCCTAGCCAGACCTGCAGCTTCTAGGGCTGATGCTCGCTGTAAGGCCTGTAGAGCTGGATCCTGGGAATCTGTAAGCTTTTGGTTCTCTTCCCTGGCCCTAAGATCAAGGCAATCACTCCAGTCCAGCTACCTTAGATCCTGGACGTGTGGGCCAGAAAGAGCTTGTGTTTGAGCCCCCTGGCAGGTACTCTGGAAAACTGAAGTCATATCCAGGTCACCAAGTGCAGGAGGCCAGAAACAACTTAGGACCAGACAAAAAAGGTGATCACTACTGGAATCTGGGTCAGAGCAGTGAGGACAGAATCCCAGTTGTCATGATTGCTGGACACTGGCCAAACCAAGGCCAATTTCTTTCTTAACACTGTCCCCTGACCCATGATCCAGGGCAGGGGCTGTGACCCAAGTGGCTGAGGGGTGTGAGGGAAGGAGGTAGCTGTGCAGGGAGATGTGCTATAGGCCCAGTAGGATAGAGTGTCCCAAAGTGGGGCATTCTTGTCACTGGAGACCTTGAAGGAAAGCAGTGAGCAAAGTTGAGTTATTTTCAGTCCCTCTAGCTCAGGTCTTCTGGGGGGGGGGGCTAGTCCTAATAACATGATAACAGGCAAAGACAGAAAGAGCTGTCTGATGCTCACCCTGTTGGGAATGAGACTGTGAAGCAGTGGAGGGCAAACTACTGCCTCTCTGACTCAAGCTCATGCTCTCCCCATTCATTCTCTTCCCAGGTGACTCTCAGGCTGGCGAGGTGAGTGAGTTCAGGAAGCTGGGAAAAGGTAACGAGGGCCCCAGGATGGAGTGTATGTTGGATTTTACTTGGAGAGATGATAAAGAAGAAAAGATTGTTTGATCCAAGACCTCATTTGACCCTTAATGAACTGAGAACAATAGCCCCGATTAAGGGAAACTACTGGGATAGCTTCCTCCCATCAGAACAATAAGGTTCTTCAGGAAAGAGAGACTGAGCCATTAGTCCAGACTGTCACTCAAACTCGAATGCTATGCATGAAGCCTAGAGCTGGTTCCAGTTCATTTTGGATCTAACACGTTCTGAGCTTGTTTAACAAGTGCCTCGAGATTTCCTTCTCTCCGTGGCTCATGGCACAGCTATGAATAGGCTCAAATGATTTCACTGAGGAAGGGACATCTGTCTCGTCTACAGCTGTGATGAGAGACATTGGGTGTGATATTCCAACTTCAGTACACTAGCCCTGTGGCTCCGGGTGCTCTAGTTAGCATCTGGAGCGTCTGTCACTCTGTGGCAAGGGGCACACAGCCCACATGTACCTACCATGGAGCCAGCACAGAAAACCATGGTTGTAAGGTGTCTAGCAGGATGCCCAGCATTTAGAACTCATTAATAATACCTGGAATGCATGAAAAGTGGATGAGAGTGGAAGTAGAGTGAATGTGGGGGTGGGGGAAAAGATGTCCTAGGAAGAACCCAAAGTAACCTTCTTCCATTTCTGTTCAGGTAACAACCCACCTACCTTCCTGGGTCCCAGGTGAGTCTCTCTTAGCAGCTCCCAGGGGGGAAAAAGAAGGGAGGAAAGAGAGACCATAGTCTAGTAGCAGAGTTACTTTATGTGAGCTGGTCTGGGGTTCACATCAGAGGCAGTTGTGAATGAGTGGCATGTGAACTCTGTTCTGGGCAGTGAGGTTGGTGAGAGACCCCATGTTCATTAGGAAAATGAACTGAGAACAATAGAACCACTGCACTCTTCTGAATCTCATGGTACTGTGCACATCATCTCAAGAGGAGCCACCGGCGGAAGTAAAGGCTTGGTTAGGTTTTGCGTAGCTGTCTCCTCCAGGGGCATCATCTCACCTCTTGAAAACTGAGCTTGCCTTTCTGATGCCAGGAGTCTGAATCTTAGCATCCTCTACTTGTGGCATGGATGTGGTACCTCCCCTGCTGTCTCCCAAAGGGATAGGATGTTATTTGGGGCAGAGTTCTGTAAACTGGAAGATGTGTTGCACACAGAAAGAAAAATGTGGCAATCAGGAGACCAGGACTATGATGGTACCTCCTGCAAGCTGGGTGGCCTCAGACAAGTGGTCTTTTCTACATACCTTCCCATCTTCTTTCCTATGAGAGGAAGCAGGGGATGCATTCTCTGCCTCTGTGGGGCCAGGTCAAGTTTCAGAAGTGGAAGCATGGAGGGGACCTAGGCATTTCCACTCCCCCCTCATTCTTGGGAGTCTAAACAATGTGGAGGAGAAAAGGCCACTGCCAACCAAGAGGCATGGCCCCACCTGCCCTTCCTCTGCCCCCTGCAGGGGACGCCATCAGAAGACCCACACCACCACTGCCTGGACAGGGGATTTCAGGAACTCAGGAAGAAGAGCAAGTGACCCCCTCCACTGATGTGCTGGTGACTCTGGGTCCCCCAGGTAGCTGCGACAATCTGTGTACCACACTTCTGTACTGAGGGCGGGGGGAGCTGTTCAGAGCCAACTCTAGGTCACAGCTGGGAGTGGAACCCCTTCCTTGCTTCTCCAAGCAGAGTCTTCAGCTGACTCTGTCTAGGCTGTGCGACCCTGGATCATGATGACCCAGGTCTACCTAGTGAACACAGGACCCTGCCTGGAGTGATCATCAAGCCCCGAAAGGGGAAAGGGAATGCTTTGGAGAGGGTGTTTGTTACTCATTGGCCACTAGGAAGCCAGGGGTCTTCCAGGGGAATTTGGGGACCCCTCTTGAGGGATGTAGAATGGAAGCAGAGCTCTTCCAGACTGTTTCCCTGAGTCAGCACAAGCCTGGCAGCGACAGCCTCCTGCCCATGGGAAGGACTATTTTCGGGAAAGAACACGGTTCTCTTACCCAAAGGTTGTTTAAGTGCCTGAGAGTCTATATTCCATTCCCTTTGCTCAAGTACAAGGATGAAGGCTGAGGGCGGGTGTGGGGGCGATCCCTGGCAACCCACCCCACTCTGGAATGTGCTCTCCTCAAAGGCTCATTGTCTGAAGTCTTGGTTCCAGAGAAGCAAAGCTGGCATTGTGGCGTTGTCGCAGCTGCTCCCTGTACATGGCGTGCCCTCCTACCATCCCTCTCTAGGGGCTGCCTGTGCTTTTAGCCAGAGACCCAAGTCACCTTGGGCAGGAGGCAAGGGCGAAGTTCTGGAATTCCTCCAGAAAAGGGAGAAGAAGCCCTGTAGCCTAGTGGAACAATCCAGAGAACAGGAAGTGGGATGGGGTTCTGGCTTTTTCATGGGGTCCCCACTAACCTCTCCAGGGATGTCTGTCCCCTGGCTCAGAGTTAGGCCCTCTGCTTCTCCAGGGAATATCCTTCCCAGCAGACAGGATAGTTGGGTATGAGGGCTCAGGCAGGGAGTGCTGAATCTCTGACAATTAAAAGGGACTGGAGGAAGCCTTCAGCCATGCAAACAGGCTAGCAAAGAAGGTAGTTCATCTTATCAAATACCATGAAGCCCCTCTATGACCAACACAGGCCACCCACTTCCAGCCCATTCTGTTGGAGCTACAGGATTCTCTCAGAATGGTAGGGGCATGCAGGAGAGCCCTGAGTATGTAGGCTCTAGGCTAAGACCTCAGGGTGGACACAGGCTGAAAGCATTATTCCTTTCTTGGTTTGTCCATGCATTCTATTGTTCATTCATGCTTATTGAAAGTGTCAAGTACTTCTTTAGTCAGATAACTTAGTCTCTGCTATTGTACACCCTACTCTCCAGGATCTGTCTCACTGTCTAGGGATGCTAGGCAAGAGTTGCTAGCTAAGCTCTATGGATGAGAGATGTGTCCCCATTGAGAGGAAGAGAAAGGAGGAGGGAGGCAGGAAATATGGGTCACTAGAAGTTATTAGGTTCCCATGAGGAGGATAAACTATCTACTGTGAGCTCCATCCTGAGTCAGGCTCACCACCTCAACAGGTCCCATGGGTATTACAAGAGGCTATGATATCCATGGATATAGGAGGGCCTGACAAAGGTGTAGCCCTCTGTTGGTTTTCTGAAGCCCCTGAATCCCAGCTCCCATTCTCTCTGCACTCTGCTCCACTTCCTTTGTCCCCCTTCTCCCCTACATACTCTAACTTAACCTCTGCTTGATCCCTCTCCCATAGACATTGATAGATGTGCTTCTGGAGCCACCAACATCTGTGGCCCTGGTATCTGTGAGAGCCTCCCAGATGGATACAGATGTGTCTGCAGCCCTGGCTACCAGCTGCACCCCAGCCAGGCCTTCTGCACGGGTATTTATGTGGGCATCCTGGCCTGCTGCATGGGTGGGGTAAGTGGCAGGAGGGGCTGGAAGACTGAGTCAAGAAACCAGGCAGCACCCATATAATTATAACCCTCTGTACGGTATTTTCACAATAAAGAAATATATATATATATATATATATATATATATATATATATATATACTAAAAAAGAAAAGAAAAGAAACCAGGCAGCAGAATGTCCAGGCAGTTCAGAATAGGTGTTGGGAGCATAGTCCCTGGGGACAAAGCTAACTTGACCTCTGGGAGAATATCCAGATGTGAGGCCCATCTGATGAGCTCCAAACTCCGGGAGACTGGGCACCCCTGCTAAAGCCAGGTAGCTCTCCATTCAGAGATCAGCCCACCCCTCTAATTGACCATGTTGTTACCTGCTGAGCAGACCAAGGTTTCTGCCAGGGCCGTTCCTGAAGGGGAGGTGTGGGACCAAAATAAATCATCAAGTGTGAACCTTATTCCTTTCCTGCAATATTTTTGTGCAGAAGAGAAATATCCACTGTGCTCTTGAAGGAAGAATGACATGATCACAAGACCCCTGAGGGAAGAGGACAAGGGGCAGGGAGGAGGAGTTGGTAGTCATCTAGGACCCCTAGTGCCTGAGTGGGTGCCATCTGCCCACTCTGTGGCTTTCATCTTTAGGGCTTTCTTCCTACCTCCTCTGTTCCTTCACCCTTTCTATACCACATAGCAGGATCCCCTAGTACGGGTAGCTTACTGGCAGGTGCCTATTGAAAGAAAGGCATGCTGGCCTCCCTGACCTCTTTTCCTGCCTCCTTCTGGTCAGATGACAATGAGTGTCTGAGGGACCCCTGCACAGGAAGAGGACGCTGTGTCAACAGTGTGGGCTCCTACTCCTGTATCTGCTATCCTGGCTATACACTGGCCACTTCAGGGACCACGCAGGAGTGCCAAGGTAAGCCAAGCCCACCCTGGCCCAGGGGTGGATACATGAGAGTATGTCTTGGCCTAGTCCCACAGAGGAACCAGGTGATCATAGCCCCCAGGCACAATGCTGCAGCGTGGGGAGTATAGAAGCCATAGGAAGAGAAACAGAGTCTGGCCTGGCCCTGGGAGGAAGCTGACCCTACATGGAGACCACAAGGAAGGACAGGAATTAAAAAGGCAACAGTAGGGCTGGGAAGGTGGCTCAGTGGTAGAGTGCTTGTCTTGCATGCATGAGGCCCTGGGTTTGATTCCTCAGCACCACATAAGCAGAAAAAGCTGGAAGTGGTGCTATGGCTCAAGTGGTAGAGCGCTAGCCTTGAGCTGAAGAGCTGAGGGACAGCGCCCAGGCCCAGAGTTCAGGCCCCATGACCAACCAAAAAGAAAAAGGCAACAGTATTTTCAGAAGCCTCAAGGAATTGCAAGTAGAGACAAGAAGAGATTAGAGAACTTTCCCGGTGATGGAGACCAAAAATCATGTCTTCAAACTCTGAGTGACAAGGAACTGTTTTCCTTCCAGGGAAGGAAGATGACCCATAAAGATGTAGAGCTGAGACTCCTGGATGAGAGCTCAGATCCCCAGCTGCTTTATAGACATTCACAGGCTTAAAACTTCTCTTAGAATGTTAGCCCCCTGCTGAGAACCTTTGATAAACATGCATCTAACTCACAGAGCATTTCTCATACATTTTTTATGAATGAATTCACAAGGAAAGTAAAGAGTGCCTTCAGATCAGTGCCCTATGACTCATAAGCAGTTGAAAAACCTTTACCTTGAAAATGGCTGTTCTTGGAGCTCATGTTGCTGGCTCTGACTAGGGCAGCCTTGCAGTCATCACAGACATGCCCCTCCAAGAGTGGCCAGCAGAGCTGTGTATCCTATCAGGTTCAGGGTCCTATCACTAAAGATCTGGTTTGCAGAATTCAGAGCTATCCTATCATTTGATTATGAGAAGAAGCGAGGTAGAAGAGACAATGCACCCTATGTAATGGGAGAGTACAAGACTGTGCATATTGTTTAGTTAGCACTCGAGCATGGAGAATCTAGGTGCTAAGTACTGTGCTAATGATCTCCAAGGATTCTGGGATGGATGAGTGTGGTGGGACAGATGGGATGCTGTGGAGTGCAGATAAGAAAGCCACTGGCTGTCTCTGAAGGAAGGAATTTGGGAAGGTTTTCTTGAGGGGCTACTTGAGCTGGAGTAGAATAATAGGTGCCATCTAATGAGTACTTTTCATGTCCCTCACTGTCCTAAGCACTTTATTTGTGTCAGTACTACAGTTTAAACTGGGGACCTCTTGTTATCCTTTATTTTTTTCCTGCCCAAAGCTGGCACTTTTACCATTTGAACCACACTTCTACTTCTGGATTTTTGATGGTTAATTGGAGCTAATAGTTTCACAGACTTTTCAGCCTGGGCTGGCTTTGATCTGGTATCCTGTGATCTCAAACTCTGAGTAGGTAGGATTTACAGATGTGAGGCACCAATACCTACCTTAAGCACTTTATTATATAAACTTTATCCATTCAGTCCTTATCCTCACTTATAGTTTAGTATATTGAGGCCCAGAGAAGGAAATTGAAATATTCAGGGCCTCCCACCTTGTAGAACTAGAAATAGAACGAAGTCATTCTAGCTCCAAAGAATGATTTACTTTCACAAAGTCATACCCTTCCACAAAGTCAGACCACCATGGAGCATGAAAAGGAATGGAGGAAGCAGAAGGTATTCCAGGAAAAGGGAGCCATTTTTGCAATAACTGGAGTTGTGAACAGGCCTGGTAAGCCCTGGCAATAACGGCGAAGTCAGTGTGAATGAACTGTGAGGTCCATGGAGGAAATAACAGCACTTGTGGCCAGTTTGGGAAGTGCTTTGAGTGCAAGGCTGAAGTACTTGGAGATCATTCTGGGACAGTGGCAGCAGGCAGACTCTGTAAGGGGCAGTGATTTGGTCAGCTGGCTGTCAGGGAGGTGAGTTGGGCAGCAGTACTCAGAACAAGTTGGCAGACCAGGGGAAAGGCAAGAGATGGTGGGCTTCTCCAGGGTTCTGCAGCCTGGACAGAAGTATTTCGGCCCAAAGTATTGCTGGTTGCAAACCCAGGCTAGGAAGCTGGCCTGGAATAAGCCGTAGTTACTACTAGGAATGGTATTGTCAGGATTGGCCCAGACAAGTTTGGCTCTGTGCCAACCTGGGTGTCCAGATGTCTTTGCCAGCCTCAACAGCTGTGGAAAAGGGAAGAGCTTGAGGTCAGCTGCAGTGCTTCTCCCAATGGGGCTTGGCTGCCACTTGAAGAGTCTTTATCCAGCACAGCATCAGCTTCCTAAATCTCAATAGTCTCAAAAAGTGAGCTCATTATTCCATTGATTTAATTTAGTAGTGATTTATATGAATTAATTATACACAATTATTAATTTATGTAATTACTAGACAAATTTAATATAGGCAGTATAAACTATTGAAATATCAAGTGCTTAAATGTTATTTTAAGTTATTAAGTTGTTAAGTAACTTAAACAGCTAAGCTACTTTACTATTTTACATTACTAATAAGTTTTAGCATTTCTTACATGTTGGATTTCACATTTCCTCATCTTTAAATTGTTTCTGTCTTGTTCAGTTTTCTGAGGGTGTTCATTTCTTCTTATGCCTTTTTTTAAAGTACCTTGTAAATTCTATTGACTCTTCCCATTTTGTTCTATATTCATTGACTTTATTCTCATGCCCTTCTTTGATCAAAAATCCTTAATTTTGGGGATTGGGAAGGTGGCTCAGTGGTAGAGTGCTTGCCTTGTATGCATGAGGCCCTGGGTTCAATTCCTTAGAACCACATAAGCAGAAAAAGCCAGAAATGATGCTATGGCTCAAGTGTAGAGCATTAGCCTTTAGCTAAAGAGCTGAGGGACAGCTCCCAGGCCCAGAGTTCAGGCCCCATGACTGGCCAAAAAAAAAAAAATCCTTAATTTTGAGGCTAGGAAATTTACCTTTTTGTCTTAGTTTTGTAGATTTTTTTTGTCAGTTTTGGGGCTTGAACTCTGGGCCTGGATGCTGTCCCTGAGCTCTTCAGCTCAAGGCTAGCTCTCTACCACTTGAGCCACAGCGCCACATCCGGTTTTCTGAGTGTTTTATTGGAGATAAGAGTCTCATGGGGGCTGGGAAGGTGGTTCAGTGGTAGAGCACTTGCCTTGAATGCATGAGGCCCTGGGTTCGATTCTTCAGCACCACATAAACAAAAAGAAAAAAGCTGGAAGTGGCGCTGTGGCTCAAGTGGTAGAGCGTTAGCCTTGAGCTGAAGAGCTGAGGGACAGCGCCCAGGCCCAGAGTTCAGGCCCCATGACCAGACCCCCCCCCCCAATAAAAAGAGAGTCTCATGGACTTTTCCTGCCCTGCTGGCTTTGAACCACGATCCTCAGATCTCAGCCTTCTGAGTAGCTAGGATTACAGGCATGAGCCACCGGCACCCTGCTGTTTGGGGGATTTTACTTCAGAAATCATTCCCTTCCCTTGAGTCACAAAAATATTCACCTACTTTCTCTTGCTATGTCTTTACCTTTTAAGGGATGTGGTAATCCATCTGGGATCCATCTTTACATGGATATTAATAACCTGGGGGGGTCCCATTTCCATTTTCCTTTGTAGAGTCAGTTTTGCCAGCACCATCTATCAGAAAGCAGTACTGGATCCACTCATTTAGAGGTTCTATATCAGGTTCCCACTTATGGTAGACATCTGTGAGCTCTCTTTTCCCTTCCATTGGCATTAGAACTTCTCAAAGTGAAGATAACTAATTTCTTAAATGTCTGGAGAGTTGTTGCAGTGTAGGTAACGTGGACCTACCCTGTGCTGAGTGAGGGTCAGGATCTCCAGCCAGGTGCATGTGACACCTGTGCAAGCAACTCCACTGAACTGGAGTTTTAGGAAGGATTGTTTAGGTGGAAACTCTGCCCATACACAAATATTTATCACCCAGCTCCTTCAGTAAGCACTTATTGGGGTCTGTGCTGAGGAGACACTGAGACAGAAGGGTAGGTTCCCAGGTTAGGGAGAAGTAAGCGAGTCAGTGAACAATCATGTTTAGGACTGGGTCTGAAAGGAACCCTAGGGACTATATGAGCTGCAAGGAAGAGCTCAGAAGATGGTCAAGCTGATGTATAGAAGGCATTCCAGGCCAGAGCATAGCACAGGCAGAGGCTTAGAGGCAGGTCCTCTGTGACCAAAGCTAGGAGATATATGGGAGGCAGGAAACAAGGTAAGCAAGGTGGACAGGAGCCAGGTCATGAAAAATCTTACCTGCCAGACTGAGGAGCTTGGATTCTGCAGGGTCAGTTTAATGCCAGAATAATAATAGCTCACATTTCTTCATTGCTTACTACTACCAGGCAGGCACTGTGCTAAGAGCTCCCAATCTGTATATGGACTCTGTAGAGTGAATCAGTACTGGAAAGAGGCCAAGATGAGGCCTCCATGAATTTGATGGTGGAGGTATGAAATGGGGAAGTGGCCACAAGGACCTAGAGCTCCTGCTTGAAATTGTAGTAGAAATCTGCTAGCTATCAACGTAAGGGAAGACATGTTCAGCAGAGATGTGTGTGAACAAACACTTGGAAGTTATACCAATGGAAGACTGCTGTAGCTAAGGTTATATTGCGGCCAGTGCAAATTAGCAATGTGGCCAAGCCTAGACCAGGCTTGTGTACCAGGCTGCAGGTAGAACTTAAAGGCATTAATGAGCCCTGGCTGAAGCCTGAGCAGAGCAGTGTGACCAAGGCTGGGCTTCAGAGCCATTGTAGGGTACCAGTGTGCTTTGGACAATGACATAAAGCACACTTACAGATCTCTGGCTATTGATCTGTCTTTGGATGTTTGATTTTTACCAGCTTCTAAGGAGATCCTTATATGAACCCTAGGAGTAACCCAAAGTCTGCAATAGTTGGGAGGAGAAGTGGGTAGAGACAGTGTTGGCCTTCTCAGATAATGTCATATGGACTGCCGCCTGTCTATATGACCAGCCTTCACATCCAGGTGAGGAGTTAGCTATAGAGACTGCCTTGGACCCCCTGGAAGAAAAGGACTCAGGGATAAACAAGACCTGATGAGTCTCAGACTTGGCCTAGGAACCTTTCTAGCCTGTCAGGACTGTAGTAAGTCTTCCTTACGTGGGTCTTAGCACTAGGTCCTTGTTCTTGGCTTCTGGAAAAGATGCATTAGAACCTCCCTCAGGATGGAATTTCACTCAGGACTGTCCTGTGTGTTCCCAGATATAGATGAGTGTGAGCAGCCAGACATGTGCAGTGGAGGGCGATGCAGCAACACCGAGGGCTCATACCACTGCGAGTGTGATCAGGGCTACATCATGGTCAGGAAAGGACACTGCCAAGGTAAGGAGTGGGGATAAGGAGCTAGCCAGCCACCCCACACACTGCCCACTACCAGCTTCCCTTCTGGCTTGTCCCCACTGAGTCCCTTGATGCTGAGCCCACTCCCAAGGCCAGAGACATGACTTCAAACTCCTGAGCATTTCCTTCTTCTTGGTGATAATTTGACATCCTGTCTTACCCTTTTATCACGGAATTCCAATCTACAGGATACTCTAAAAACATTTCTTCAGATTACTTGTGCCCCTTCACTCTGAAAAATACCCTGTCCTTGTGTGGCATGGGAAGGAATCTTGAACAAAGCCTGGATTTTCTGCAGCCTCCAAGGTTTTCCTAGCCAGGACTTACCTGGTTGCAGAGGGTCCTAGAGGAAAGGAGTAAACTGTGTTCCTTTGTTTAGAAGTGTTCTTTCTTCCCAGTCTGACTGCTATGGAAGCAGGAGGCTTCCAGAGTCCCAGGAGGCCTTAGCAAAGGGGAAAGGTAGCTGCAGACATAGGAAAGACTCCTGTCTTCACTCTCAGTGTGTTACCTTCCCTCAATGCTTCCATCTTGGTGGCCCCCAACCTTTAAAACTTAGGGTTATAGGGGCTGGGAAAGTGGCTTAGTGGTAAAGTGCTTGCCTTGCATGCATGAGGCCCTGGGTTCAATTCCTCAGCACCACATAAGCAGAAAAAGCCAGAAGTGGTGCTGGGCTTAAGTGGTAGAGCACTAGTCTTGAGCTGAAGAGCTGAGGGACAGCACCCAGGCCCAGAGTTCAGGCCCCACAACCGACCAAACAACAACTTAGGATTATAAATGACTAAAGCTAGAAGCCACTCCCCTCGTCATCAGGTCCTTAGAGACAAGGCGGCCTGGTCTTTTCTGAGGAAACTGCAGAATGAAGACCCCCCTCCCCCACCACTAGATAGGTGCCTACTATGTGCGTGCTTGCTATCCTGAATACTTCATGTAAGCAGTACCACAATATTACGGATTTGACATCAGAGTTTTTTTTTAACCTTCACATGGTCTATAAAGTTTGTGAATTCTATGAGCTTTGACAATATAGTTATTTTTTCCACATCAGGTGATGTTTATATTTCTTTCCTTTTGCTTAGTGTAAGCTGTTCCCTCTTTCCCTCTCATTCCTCCCTTCCCATCTCTGTCTTTGGATTGCTTAGTTCTTTTTCTTCTATGTCCAGTACAGCTGATGGGCCCCTTTGTTATGTGTTGTTCGGTTTTCCACTTATTCTGCATCCTCCTCTTGGCTTCCCTCCATTGCGTGCATATATATATATATATATATATATATATATACACACACATATATATATATATATATATATATATACCATATATATATATATATGTTCAAGAATATAGAGTCATTTAGCAATGATACGACAAAATGAGTGGCTGTCCTTTGTTTCTCAAGTCCTGTTTACTTTGTTATCTCCTTGCATTTTGGCTTTAGCATCCACATATCAGGAAGACCATATGGCGTTTGTCTCTTTGTTCTTGGCTTACCTCACTTAAAATAATTCGCTCTAGTTCCATCCATTTCCCTGAAATGTTCTTTCTAATGGCTGCATAATATTCCATTGTATATAGGTACCACAATTTTTGGATCCATTCATCTGTGGTGGGGCATCTGGGTTGTTTTCATATCCTGGCTATTGTGAACAGTGCTGCAATAAACATGGAGGTGCATGTGCCCTTGTATACTGGTTACTGTTGTTCAGGGTAGGTGCCTAGGAGTGGTATGGCTGAGTCATAGGAGAGATCTATATTTAGCTTTCTGAGGTACCTCCAGACTGCTTTCCAAAGTGGTTGTATTAGTGTACATTCCTACCAGCAGTGGAATAGGGTTTCTCTTTCTCCGCATCCCCTCCAGCATTTGTTGTCAGCTGAATTTAGGATGTGGGCCATTCTGACTGGGGTAACGTGGTATCTCAGTGTTGTTTTTATTTGCATTTCCTTTACAGTCAGGGAGGCTCAACATTTCCTCATATGTTTCTTTGCCATTTTTATCTCTTTTTCTGAGATGTCTTTATCTCCCTTGCCCATTTCATGATTGGTTTGTTAGATTTGTGAGGGGTTAGTTTCTTGAGTATATAATGGATATTAAACCCTTGTCTGATATATTGCTGGTAAACTTTTTCCCAATTAGTTGACCTTCTTTATAATTTGTTTGCTATTTCTTTATCTGTGCAGAAACTTTTTTTTGTTTTAAGGTAGTCCCATTTGTTGAGTCTCTCTCCAATTTGTTGTGACCCTGGGACTCTGTTCAGGAAGTTCCTGCCTGTGCCTATAAGTTCAAGTGTCTCTCCTACTCTGTCCTTCAGTAGTTTCAGAGTATCAGATTTGATGCTAAGGTCTTTAATCCATTTTGAGTTGATGTTGGTGCATGGTGACAGGCTAGGGTCCACTTTTAGTTTTCTGCATGTGGCCACCCAGTTTTCCCAGCACCAGTAGTTGAAGAGGCTATGATTCTTCCACTTTATGTCATTGGCTCCTTTATCAAATATCATCTGACTGTACGTATGTGGTTTTATTTCTGGGTCCTCTAATCTGTTCCATTGGTCTTTGGGTCTCTTCTTGTGCCAGTACCAAGCTGTCTTTGTTATATTTTGGCTCTATAGTAGAGGTTGAAATCCGGTATGATGATCCTTCCTGCATTCTTTCTTTTGCCTGGAATTGCTTTGGCTATTCTAGGTCTTTTGTTGTTCCATATGAATTTTTGGACTGTTTTCTCTATTTCAGTAAAGTATGTTGTTGGGATTTTTACGGGAATTGCATTGAATGTGTATATCGATTTTGACAGTATGGCCATTTTCACTATATTAATTCTTCCTATCCGGGAACATGGAAGGTCTTTCCATTTCCTGGTATCCTCTATGATTCCTTTTTTTAGGTTTTGAAAGTTTTCATGAAATAGACCCTTTATATCTTTGATTAGGTTAATTCCTAGATTTTTTTGAGGTTATTGTGAATGGGGTTGTTTCCTTGATTTCCCTTTCTGCTTGTACATTGTTGGTGTACAAAAAGGCGACTGATATTTGTGGGTTAATTTTATGTCCTGCTACTTTATCAAAGTGGTTTATAAGCCCTAGAGTTTGGGGATGGAGCTTTTGGGATCATTAAGACATAAAATCATGTAATCTGCAAAAAGAGACAGTTAAACTTCTTCCTCCCCTATGCGGATCCCTTTAATGTCTTTTTCATGCCTTATTGCTAAGGACTCCAGAACTACACTGAAGAGTAGAGAGAGAGGCCATCCTTACCTTGTTCCTATTTATAGGGGAATTGGTTGTAGTTTTTCTCCATTAAGTGTAATATTGGCTGTTAGTCTGTTGTATAAGGCTTTTATTGTTTTTTTTAAGGAATGTTCCTTCTATTCCTATTTTTTCCAGAGCTTTTAACATGAATGAGTGCTGTATTTTATCAAAAGCCTTTTCCACATCAATGGAGATAATCATGTGATTCTTGACCTTGGATCTGTTGATGTGATGTATTACATTTAGTGATTTACCTATATTAACTATCCCTGCATCTCTGGGATGAAGCCTACTTGGTCTTAGTGTATGATTTTTTTATGTGTTTCTGGATTTTGTTGGCTAGAATTTTATTGAGGAGCTTTGTATCTATGTTCATCAAAGAGATTGGTCTGTAGTTTTTTTTTTTTGTTGGGTCTTTGCCTGGTTTGGGGATGAGTGTGATATTGCTTCATAGAATGAGTTTAGGATTAGTCCCTCTGTTTCTGTTTCTCTGAAGAGCTTGAGGAGTGTGGGTATTAGTTCCTCTTTAAAGGTCTTGTAGAATTCCATAGTGAATCCATCTGGTCCTGGGCTTTTCCTTGTTGGAAGGCTTCTGATTGCTTCCTCTATCTCATTGTATGTTATTGTCATATTCAACTGATTTATTTCTTCTTGGTTCAGTTTGGTCAGAGTTTATTTTTTAAAGAAAATAAAATACCAGAACATTAAAAATGTCAGATTTATACTAACCTGCAAATGTTAAGGGCACAGGCTCTGGTGCAGACAGGCCTGGGTTTGGCTCTTGTCTCATGTCTGGAATTAGAAACCATCATGTGCCCATCTCAGAATCTTTAGTAAGGAGGACTGGATAAGTGAACCTATCCAAGGTGCTCAGTAATACCTCTGGATATAACTAAGAGGACACATCACTGTCAGAGAGCATTGTCCTTCCCCTGTACCCAGATTCCTACCACCCCCAGTGCCTGCCTCTGAATCTTTTCCATCCCATCTGAGGGAAGATTCTAGACATACATCTCATGTGGGAGGTCAGGCTGAGTTCCTAGCCCTGGCAGACACACCAAGACTGTTAAAAGAAAGAATGATGTCGTCTGCACACTTCTCCAGGTTTCCATCAGTAACCACAGACTCATCACCCAGGAGCCTAGTCAATTTCCTCTCCCTCTTTCTTCTTTCTCCAATGAAGAAACCACTCTCTCCGCTGAAACCTGAAGTCTCTGGTGAGAGGCTAAGTGGTCTGGATAGCATCCCATGTAGCAGTCTCAATGGCATTTCCGTCAGACCACGACTCTGGGTTCCCATAAACAAGGAGCAAATTCTGCACGTTGCCAGAGCCTTCAATGTCCCCACCCACACATACCCAAGGTCCCGCTGAGCTTCTGTCGGAACTTCTTAGCCACCCCCACCCCATGCTCTCACAAGGAACAGAGGAACATCTTCTCATTTAGAGCTAACTGACCCCTGACAGAGGAACTTCAGGGCATTCCCAGCAGAGGGATAATAGAATGGTAAGCTGAGCTGGTCATCTGTTTCCATGGAAACCTGGGGGTCTCTTCTGCAGCCTTAAACCAATAGGATGTTTGGAGAAGTTTTAGGCACATTTCCCCATTCTTTGGTGAGCAAACAGTTGCTGAGTGCCAGCTGTGTACTAGCCATGGGCTAGGAATCAGAAATAAATAGACCATTCCTGCCACCAACTATCATATTGAGACTAACCAAATAAACAATAGCCTTAGTTTAAAATTCAAACTCTCATCTAGGCACAGAATCTCCACCCAGATACTAATAACTTGGTAGAACAGCTTCAGGATATCTGGTAATGGAATCCTCTGTGTCTAGAATCTTTATCTGGCCCTTTGATAAGCTTGGCTTATGGCTAAATTATATCCAATCCTAAACAGGAAAGCCCTTCCCTAACAGATGGAGACTGAGAGGCTCCTCTGCTCTTCTGCTCTCTCTCCCTCACTTAGTGCCAGACCTGTCACTTACAATCATTGCTTCCTGGGCCTCTGGTCTAAAAGGGAAGCCAGCAGTGGTTTTCAAGTATAGACTAGATTATATTGTCTTAACAAATAACCCTAGCCTTAATGACAGACAAGACAGATAATTTTCCCAGTGCTAGTTGACTCGTAAGGGTCATCTGAGGGCTCTGCCCCATGTTTCTATAATCTAGAACTGTGCTAAAGAAATAGCCAGACTCTAGAGTATGGCTTGTCTCCATAGAAAAAAAGAAAAAGAAGAGTGCTGTAGAAGACTGCACGTAATTGAATGCTTCTATAAATTATATGCTCACAACTCCTTGGCCACCAAGTCTTACAGCCCCACCCAACCACATGGGACCAGGAGGCACAAGCCTGCCCTAGCTCAGAAATGGAGAACTTGAATTTTTGTTTGTTTGTTTTGGCCAGTCTTGGGGCTTGAACCCAGGGCCTGGGCACTGTCTCTGAGCTTCTTTTGCTCAAGGCTAGCACTCTAATACTTGAGCCATAGAACTCTTCTGGCTTTTTCTGTTTATGTGGTACTGAGAATCAAACTCAGGGCTTCATGTAGCTGGGCAAGCACTCTACCAGTAGGCCACATTCCCAGTCCAGGACTTGAATATTTTATAAAGAGCCTCAGTGAGTACCACATATCCTAAAGGCTCAGCATCTGGTACTGCATATACCACCTCCAGCTGATGTGCCTGGCACATTGTGGGTAGGACCAACCTTTTTTCTTAGCAAACCTAATCTTCCTACATTGCCTGATCCCTGTGAGAAAGGGGTTCAAAGATTGCTTGGAGTTTTGTTTCTTTTTTTCCCCACAATGGACTTGCTTCAGTTTCTATCCGTCCTCAAACCCTTGCACCCCTGAAGCAGGGATCAGTTATCATTCCCAGTGGCTTTTCCCATTCTCCTCCAGGTATCTTTGGGACCAGCAGGCCATAGTGCTGATGCTGTATTCTAAGTGGCCAAAACTGGAGATCCTCGATTCTTCATTCTCTTCATCTCTATCTCATTCTCTCTATCTTTCCTTTACAGAGACTTTTAGAATAGTTTGATCTTGCTGGGCACTGGTGGCTCATGCTTGTAATCCTAGCTACTAAGGAGGCTGAGATCTGAGGATCGCGGTTCAAAGCCAACCCAGGCAGGAAAGACTGTGAGACTCCTATCTCCAATAAACCACCAGAAAACTGGAAGTGGTGCTATAGCTCAAGTGGTAGCGTGCTTGCCTTGAACTGAAGAGCTGAGGGATAGCGCCCAGGCCCAGAGTTCAAGCCCCACTACTGACAAAAAAAAAAAAAAGAATAGTTTGATCTTGTGTCACCACAACCCAACTAGGGGAGGGGTGGTTGTTCTGTTTCCAGAGATAAGCCTTATGTTGTGTCCCCATTATTACCTAGAATCTTGCAAGTATCCTTGCAAAATATTCATCTAAATATGTCTTCCTCTCAGGGTCAAGCTCTGAGCTTGAGAAACCCCAGCCCTTTGGAACAGAGACTTTTGTTGTATCCTGACTTCTATAGACCAAACAAGCTCCGGAAGGACTCATTTTCACCCTCCATCTTAGGGTCCGTGTCCAGCTGTCCTGTGCCAGCTGCTGGTTTGGTCTCTTTACAGACTATTTGTCCATCCTTTTGCTTGTCTCCTGCATTTCCTCCATGGTGCTGAGTAGGTCTTCCTACTGGGCAGATTCTCTGAACCTGTATATGTTGGTGGACTTGCTCCAGAAGAATGACAGTTACCCATCTGGGAAGAATAAATCCTTCTGCTTTCTTTGCATCTTGGCTAATGACCAGAAGTCTTAACACTGAGGCAGAGGAATACAATGTTTTCCCCCACATTGACCAGGAGTTCAGCCCCTGAAGGATAACCTCCTTAACTAGTCCAGGCTGCCTATGTAACTTAGATGCTAGTCTCTCCAACATGTCAGATCATTAAAGAAGAACCCTGCACTCAGCTCTTGAGGCAAATAGTTTTTCCTTGCTTCACTCTCCCTCCTGAGGTCCCTCTTCATCTGTCTGTGTGGTTGAACCAGGCTCATGATGTGCCTATGCCTCTTGGCCAGAGGCAAGGTCTAACACTTCTCCAGTGTCAGCCTTGAGACAGATTTGTGTCAAAATTGGGAGCTCAGCCTTGGTCCTTGTTTCCTGGAGCAAGGGAATTTCATTTTGCCTCATAGTCCCTGGGTTATCTACTCTGTGGCGTAAGGCAACAGTCTACCTGGTTGCAGTACCAAGCACATCCAATCCCAGTAATGATCACAATTTATAAAGGATTAGGCATTTACCAAGGGAACTGCAAAGGCCTAGCCCAAACAGTCCAGCTCACCAAACAGAACTCTGACCTCCCACCGCTAACCACAGCCTACCATAGCCAACCAGGGAGTCAACTGGACTCGTTTTGAAGTTCTTCCATTTGGGAGGCAAAGTTGGGAACAGAGAGAAACTCTCATTTTCCCCTAGATTTTTGTTTATGATAAAACTGACATTTCTTCCCAACCCTCACCCTAAGGGCAGGGTCAAGAATTTGCTATGTCATAGAGCTACAGATGGTCTGTGGTTCCCAGGGATGACTGAAGGAGAGATTGTTGTTTTACAGATATCAATGAATGCCGTCACCCTGGCACCTGCCCTGAAGGGAGATGCGTCAACTCCCCTGGCTCCTACACTTGTCTGGCCTGTGAAGATGGCTACAGGGGCCAGAATGGAAACTGTATAGGTGAGGGCTGCTTGCCAAGGCACTGAGCGGGCTATTTGGCCTTGGGGCTGCTGGCTGAGCCCACACACAGAGACAGAAGTGGGCAGAGGGAAGTGGCTTGCAGGCTATTGTCCTCTGGATCCAGCTGGTTCCCAAATGACACTGGGTATGACATGGGTGTGGTTCAGTTATGGGGCTCTGCCCTCTGAATCAGCCAGGGTGGGGGCATTCTGTAACTACAGCCCAAGTTTCCAGAGGCTTCAGTGGCTGGCTCTTGTGGAGTTGGGGTAAGCTTCAGGTCTTAAGCAGAGGCAGAGTGGTGGTGAGAGTTGGCAGCCAGGCCTTCTGCTCTTCTGTAGAACAGCACTGTCTAAACAGCACCACTCGCTGAACAGTAGTTGTGTTTCTCACTCCAGAGAGGGCTGAGGGTCAGCAGAAGGAGGAGCACTCCTTCCCCTCAGCCCCCGCAGGAAGAAGGGCCAGGGATTCAGATGCCAGGAGGGGCTGTGATTTGAATAGATGCTTTGAGAGTCTGGAGAGGGCAGATGGTTCCCAGGCCCTTGAGATTGCCACAGCCACCCATGCATGGCCTGACCTCTCTCTGCACTGTGTGCTCACCTATTGAAGCTGGTTGTTGGGCTGGAAACATGTTTGGTGGCAGGTAGGAGACTAGAATCAGACCCACAATGAGGGGATACAAGGCTCTTAGACATCTTGTTCCAAGTACCTTTGGATGGACTAAACCAGTCCTAAGACTGAAGGACCTGCACTACCCCCACCCCACCCCTACCAACCACCACCTCATTTTTTTAAAGGATATATACAGGGTGCCCTGTATTACTACTGGGGCTGAGGAGAGCTCATGAGGGAAGGATCTTGTCCTATCTGAGTGGAATGGGAGAACATGACTCATGTCCTCCCCAGAGTGAGCTACAGCCCTTCCCCAGCCTCCGCATTGATGCGCTAAGCCTGCCATGAAGGGCTGCATGAAGGAAAGGGGGCCAGAGCATACTGGACTTCTCTTTACAGATGTGAACGAGTGTCTGACCCCTGGGGTCTGTGCCCATGGAAGGTGCATCAACCTGGAAGGTTCCTTTAGATGTTCTTGTGAGCTGGGCTATGAGATCACTCCAGATGAGAAGGGCTGCCAAGGTACAAAAATGCTGAAGCAGCCTTCCACCACAGGCCAGGCCAGTCTATGGCTCCTTCCCCTCTTCACACAACCCACATCCCATCCTGGTCACGTATCCCTCCCCATGCTGACTCAGCACACCCCTACCAAGACTTCCTGCTTCCTGCTCCTTGTTCACCTGTCAGTCTCCCACTATTCTGCCATGCCTGCCTGGCAGAATCCTACACAGAGCTCAATGACTGGTTTCAGATGTGGATGAATGTGCCAGCCGGACCTCGTGTCCCACGGGCCTCTGCCTCAACACAGAAGGGTCCTTTACCTGCTCGGCCTGTGAGAGTGGGTACTGGATAAATGAAGATGGCACTGCCTGTGAAGGTAACCTCAGGGAGCAGTGGAAGAGGGGACAGAATACAGACATTCTGGGCTCCCAAAGAAGATCAGTTTGTCCCCCAGCCTTGGGCTACTCCCAAGGGGCTCCAGGATGCACTACAGGGCCCTAGAGGAGAGTTTCTGTTGCCATAATCTCCAAACTCAGAATTAAGGACAGGAAGAACAGGCGGTCCCAGAGTCAGGAGGGGAACTGAGGATAGAGGTACCCAGCGAGTTTTCTAGGAAGGAGTTGTGTACATAGAAGACCCATAGCCAGAATCTACCCCTCCTATGGGCTCAGGGTGTCACCAAAACTCAGATGGGGGGCTAGGGGTATTGTGAGGCCCTCTTTAGGTGGGGTAGCCGTCCCAGGTCCCTGGCCATGTCTCCGTCTGCCCAGACCTGGATGAGTGCGCCTTCCCTGGAGTCTGTCCCACAGGAGTGTGCGCTAACACCGTCGGCTCCTTCTCCTGCAAGGACTGTGACCGGGGCTACCGGCCCAGCCCCCTGAGCCACACCTGTGAAGGTGAGAGCATTCCCTGGCGTGAGGGAGCATGAGGGAACAAGAACTCCTCTACTACGGCAAGCTAGCTGGGGACACCCATTCTCACCCTTCCGGAACCAAAGTCAGAAAGGCAACTAAAGACCTGGTGGGGTAGAGGACAATGAACTTCTGGGTCATGGACTGCAATGTACATTTGGACTGTTTAGCATGTGGCTTCCTGGAACACTTCTTGTACACTCATGGTATGGACTCTGGAGGGGCCTTAGAATCTATTATTACAAGCGTGTTTCACAAGAATAGCCCTGGAGCTAGGTGCTGGTGTCTGTAATCCTGGCTACTTAGGAAGCTGAGATCGGAGGATTGTAGTTCAAAGCCAGTCCAGGCAGAAAAGTCTGAGACTCTTATCTCCAATTAACCACCAGAAAAGCAGTAGTAGAGCTGTGGCTCAAAGTGATAGAGTGCTAGCCTCAAGCAAAAGAGCTCAGAGACTGTGCACAGGCCCCTATACAACTGACGACGACGATGATGATGATGATGATGATGATGATGATGACATCGATAGTAGTAGTAGTAGTAGTAGTAGTAGTAGTAGTAGTAGTAGTCCTGGAACAATTCTAACCTATACCAGAACACCTGTAGGCAGCTCTCTCAGTCAAGTCTCAGCTGGACATGGTGGTTTATGCCTGCAGTCCCAGCAGGCAGGAGGCTGAGACAGGAGGATGGTGCCTTGGAGCCCAGACTGGGCTACATAATAAGACAAGTGTTACAAAACAAAAGAGCTTTTGTTACCATCTCAGGCTCACTGTATCTCCTTCCTTGGTTTCTTTCCCAATTCTGTTATATTGGAGCCCTTCCAGCCAGAATAGAGACACAGAGCTCTAGCTATAGACCAGGGCTGCTGGGTGGTGCAGGCCACTGGAGAACAGGGAAAAGTGGATGGATCCATCATCATCCTGCTCCCTGGATCTCCCGTGGTTCTGTCCTTGGAGGCACCTCCATTAGCTGCCTCCCTCCTTCTGTGGCCCTGCAGATGTGGACGAGTGTAAAGATACCCTGAGCACCTGTCTGGGAGGCGAATGCAAGAACACGCCAGGCTCCTACCAGTGCCTCTGTCCCTCAGGCTTCCGTCTGGCCAATGGCACCATATGTGAGGGTGAGTGGCCCAAGTCTCCCCACCGGGGCTCCGGGGAGGTGGGGACACCCAGGAGACACTCTGCTCTCTTGTCCCTGCAGATGTGGATGAGTGTGTGGGGGAGGAGTACTGTGCCCCTCATGGAGAATGCCTCAACAGCCACGGCTCCTTCTTCTGTCTCTGTGCACCTGGCTTCGCCAGTGCAGAGCAGGGCACCAGCTGCCAGGGTGAGTGGCCAGCGTGGCTATGTCTAGGAGTCAAAAGCAGAACACTAGAGGAGGCTATGTCTACACTAGACTTCCTTTTTATGCCAGTGCTGACATTAAACAAAATGTTTATGGCACCACTAGAGATAAGAAGATGGGAGGGCAGGAGCAACTTGAGGGAGTCTCAGAGAAGCTCAGAGCCTTTCGTCAGGGCCTGAGATGTCTGTGCAGGACACATCCTCTCCACGCCCTCTCAAGGTCACCCTTGTCCCCCCCTCTGGTTTCCAGCTGGACTCTACCTTCAGATTATACCACCCTTTCCTACTCTAAGTCCTCCTCTCTGGCCTCCTTTGGGCCACTTGGGTTTCAGAGGAAACTGCACAGGACTCTGACAGGGAAGGAACCCAGCGCTGGGTGTGCTAACAAGCATCTCTGTCCTAGATGTGGATGAGTGTGCAGCCACAGACCCATGTCTGGGAGGAGACTGTGTCAACACTGAGGGCTCCTTCAACTGTATGTGTCAGACTGGCTTCCAGCTCTCCCCAGAAAGTGGGGAGTGTGTCGGTAAGCCTTCCGGGGGGAGTACAGGGCTCTGCCCATATCTGTCCACTTCCACCTCTGTCTAGCCTCAGCTCCCTAAAATGAGGAACTGTAGCTTCCTGGGAAACATAGATTAATCATCCAAAGGACAGACAATATATTCATTGAGCCTCTGCTGGCTCAGGGACCATCTAAGGCTGACAAAATAAAGACAACTTTCTGGGGCTGGGAAGGTGGCTCAGTGGTAGAGCGCTTGCCTTGCATGCATGAGGCCCTGGGTTCAATTCCGCAGCACCACATAAACAAGAAGAAAAAAGCCGGAAGTGGCGCTGTGGCTCAAGTGGTAGAGCTCTAGCCTTGAGCTGAAGAGCTGAGGGACAGCGCCCAGGCCCAGAGCTCAGGCCCCACGACCAGACCAAAAAAAAAAAAAAGACAACTTTCTGTACAAGCACAACACACAATCTAGTTTTGAAGGCCAAATTGACTCTCTATATATTAAACATTGTGTATGGTCATTGTCTTTTGTATGTGTGTGTGCTTGAACTCAGGGCCTGGGCACTATCCCTTAGTTGTTGTTTTTTTCTTTTAAGTCTGATGCTGTATAACTAGAGCCACCGCTCTACTCCTGGGTTTTCAGTGGTTAATTAGAGATAAGAGTCTGATAGACTTTGAACTATACTCAGTTTCTTGCTAGGAGTATAGGCTTGAGCTACTGGTGCCCAGCTACATTCAATGCCTTTTTTTCTGGGACAGAGAGTTATAGACAATCTTCAAACTGATTACAGAAGACAGGTTTGCAGACAGCTTCCTGAAGGCTACCATTATAAACTCATTTCATATAAAGAAAAAGTCGTCTGCTGCTGAGAACAGGCATAGTTCCCACCGTGGGGCTAAGAGCTCAGTGTTTCCTAAATAATACACAGTTCCCTTGCTAGACACTCAGCACCACTGGGTCTGAGGAAACTACCCTGAATTGGTGTGCTTGGATAGAACTGAGTGCAGTAATTTGGAACGAAAGATCCCAGAAGTTGTTAGACATGACCTTATAATGACAGCAAGACAGGGCTAGAATAGTGACCTAACCACATCTGTCTCCTCTGTCTCCTCCCCTGGGGACAGATATTGATGAGTGTGGGGACTACAGAAACCCAGTGTGTGGGGCCTGGCAGTGTGAGAACAGCCCTGGCTCCTATCGCTGTGTTCTGAGCTGCCAACCTGGCTTTTACATGGCCCCAACTGGAGACTGCATTGGTGAGTAGAAGGGAGACGGGTGGAGGAAGAGCTGGGGACATCTGTTTTTCCCCTGGATTGAGCTAGAAATGGTTTTCTTCTGAGGACATTGTTTGTGTAATTGTTTGAAGTTTGTATATTTTCCATACAGCAGAGCTTTAGAAAAGTTGAAGAGGAATATAACTATTTGAACATTCTTGTCCTGGGTTGAAGTTGCTTTTTACTGATTGTGATGTTAACAAACCAGTATTTCCAGCAAGTAGGGAGATCATATACACTCTCTTCCCCACAGACATAGACGAATGTGCCAACGACACTGTGTGTGGGAGCCACGGCTTCTGTGACAACACGGATGGCTCCTTCCGCTGCCTCTGTGATCAGGGCTTTGAGACATCACCATCAGGCTTGGTCTGTGTTGGTAAGAAGTCTGTGGGCCACCCATGATCTGGGCCAAGGACCGCCCCTGGGATCCTCTTGCCTCCTCAGATCCTGACTTTCCTGGATGGAAATCCTGTGGCCCTCTTTCCAAAATATTCCTAGTCATGTGGTTCCAAGATAGCTCCCCCCAAAGGTGGGTAAGGAAGCTTTAAGGAAGAGAGAGATTTCAACTCTCCATCCAACTTGCATCTCTCTCTGCTGGCTGATAGAGTCATGGCAAAGTCCCACCAGCAGAGGGAGCAAGTACATGAAGGAAAGCACCTCTTTCTACACCCCCACTGCACCCGATATGCAACAACAGCTCAGGGCTCTAGAGGCCCAATGTTTGGAGAATGTGCCTAGAGGGAGGGACTCCTCTTTGTCTACTTTCATGACCTTTTCTGCAGCTCCTCTCTTCTTTCCACAATCTTCTGTCCATTTTTTTTCCTGCTAAATCAAACCCACTTTTGCTTTTTCTACCAAGGCCTGGCATGGTTCTCTTGGCGCAGGAGGACCTGCCTGGCTAGGCTGGGGTTAGGGGCAGGGGATTTGGCCTCCTCTTTTCTGTTCACAAGCCTGTCCTCACTCCTGGCAGATGTGAACGAGTGTGAGCTCATGCTGGCTGTGTGTGGGGCTGCGCTCTGTGAGAATGTGGAGGGCTCCTTCCTGTGCCTCTGCACCAGTGACCTAGAGGAGTATGACGCACAAGAGGGGCACTGTCGTCCTCGGGGTGCTGGAGGTGAGACCTGAGAAACTCCTACAACCCCTTCCCTATCTGATGATTCTAAGGCTTACAAAAGGCATCCTCCCCTCTACCACTACATCTGAGAGTTGACTGGGCCAGGAACTAGATTCAGGTTAGGAAAGGAACGTGGAGGGCGGAGGAGGCTGAGCCAGTGGGTCTGCATCAGGCCAGGCTGTGTCCAAGCTGCAGGGCTATGATGGCCTAGAGAGGCCCAGGGAGCTCTAATGCTGACTTAGAGTGGCCCCAGAGACCTCAGACTGAGTCTTAGAGGACAACTAAATCCATCTGAGTCCTAGTTAAGTTTTCAGGGTAAGGGAGGACTTGTATCTGTTCTAAGCTAGATTCTCCCCTTCCCATCTCCCATTCTGCCCCAGAGATGTAGGCTCAGTCTCTCACCCCAGGCTTGACTGGGACTCAGCTGCTTCACTGACTTGTGAAGAAAATAAGGGGAGGACCCTGCAAGGAACAAGGAAGGGGGGGTAGGGGTCTCAGTGAAGCAGAGGGATGCCTATATCGCCCATTAGGAGTGAGGACAGCCCACAGGAGAAGAAGGAAGGAGGCATACTAGGGAAGAAAGGGGTTTGGCATCAGAGGCATAGGGGTTAATAGCATCTCCAGAGTCAATTTCTCCATTTGTAGAAGGGAAATGATAATAGCACTCACTTGTAGAGATGCTGAGAATTCCAAGAGAGATGACACAGGAGGCAGCATTTTCCACACTGCTATCCTACAATAAATGTTAAAGTTAAACGATAAAGTCAAGAGCTGGGTGCCTCTAAGGGCCATAAACAGACGGTAATAAGGAGCATCTATCATATACAGCTCAGAGCATCCCTGAGGCCCCAACAGGAGACCACATGCCAGGCCCCATCCGCATGGAATGCTATTCTGGGCACAATGGCGATCCACCCTGCTCCAGCATCCTGGGCCAGAACTCCACGCAAGCTGAGTGCTGCTGCACTCAGGGTGCCAGGTGGGGAGATGCCTGTGATCTTTGCCCATCTGAGGACTCAGGTAAGGCCTCAAGGGCCCCAGATCCTGTTAAGAGTCAGCTCTGCAATGGGACAATTTTAAAAGGTGGGAGGAGTCAGGCATGGTAGTGCATGCCTGTAATTTTAGAACTTGGGCGGCAGAGGCATGAGGATTGAAAGTTCAAGGCCCAGCCTGGGCTATATAGTGAGACACTCTCAAAAAATAAAATAAAGTAAGAAAGCAAAGAATGGGAGAAAGCACAGCCTTCCCTGTCTGAGCTAGGATGCCTTCCTATGCAGTTGAATTCAGTGAACTCTGCCCCAGTGGTAAAGGCTACATTCCTGTGGAAGGAGCTTGGACATTTGGACAGACCATGTATACAGGTAACCTTGTTGACATCCTCCTCCCCAAACTCCATTTGCCAGAGTGGGCTGTGGACAAGACCTCCAGCGGGTCCTTAGAAGCTCTGAATCCAGCCCTGATTCCCCAAATGGCTTCTATCTTTTTACCCCAGAGGTGACTCCTGCAGAGTTTTAGCTGGAGTTGCTAGAACTTCTGGAGTGTCCCATAGTCCATTCCCTATCCCCTCAGGGTACACACTAATATGATACCTTCACTCCCCAACATGTGGGCACATGGACAGAGTGAGGGTACTATAGCGCAGAGGCCAGGTACTGCACTTATTTCCTTGGTGTCATTTACCAAATCATTAACTTTGGGAGGCCCATGTTCCTAATTAGGGCATTTCAGGTACTGAGTCTCTCAGTGCCTTATTCCTGAAGCTAGTCCCAGAAGTAGCTTTTCTTGAACACTTTTGTATGTACTAAGCACTATTTTTACCACCTTATACCTATTAGTGCCTCTTAATCTCAGGATAACTTGAAGATGTTAAGTGGTATTATCTACATTTTTTGAGATAGGAAACTAAGGCAAGGTGAACCTAAGCAACTTGTTTCAAGTTATCTAACACATAAGCCAGTCATGTTTGAGAGTCCTGGTCCTATGTCCTTCCTTTCTCCTGCTTCTTCCCTCTTTCTCCTCACCTCATTCTGTCCTTCCGCAGATGCCGATGAGTGTGTGCTGTTTGGGCCTGCTCTCTGCCAGAATGGCCGGTGCCTCAACACAGTGCCTGGCTACATCTGCCTGTGTAATCCTGGTTACCACTACGATGCCTCCCATAGACAGTGCCAGGGTGAGGACACACAAAACCTCTCCTACTCCCAGCCTTGCCAGCCAGTCTCACTCTTTCTGGGAATCTCCCTTTCTGGGGAAGATGCCCGCTGCAACAGACAGGTCTGAGGTGAGGGAAGCCCTGGTTATCCCCAAGAGGAGTCTTCCAGGATGGGCTAAATTGGGGAGGGGAAATCTTCATGATCACTCATAGGTTCAGAGTCTATTTCCATGGCGCCATTTACCAAGCCAAAACCTTCCAAGAATACCATCTGTGGAAGGCTACATAGGCCCTAAGCCACCCTTCCTGCCACCACAGATCACAATGAGTGTCAGGACATGGCCTGTGAGAACGGTGAGTGCATGAATACAGAGGGTTCCTTCCACTGCTTCTGTAGTCCGCCCCTCACTCTGGACCTCAGTGGACAGCGCTGTGTGAACACCACCAGCAGCACAGGTGAGTGGCCTAAGGCCAAAGCAGCAGAGGGTGTGGGCCTAGGCTAGGGCTCATATTCTGTCTGGCTTGTGACCACTAGAGGACCTCCCAGACCATGACATCCACATGGACATCTGCTGGAAGCAAGTCACCAATGATGTGTGCAGCCAGCCCCTGCGTGGGCACCGTACCACCTACACAGAATGCTGTTGCCAGGATGGCGAGGCCTGGAGCCAGCAGTGTGCCTTGTGCCCCCCCAGGAGCTCCGGTGAGGCACATCTGAAGGGCGGGGCCTGAATCCAGAAAGGGAGGTATCACCTTCAGAAGGAAAAAGGGGAGCAGGCTTCTGTCCCTGTTGTTTGGGGACAAGGTATGGGTTGAAGGTGCTTCCAGGAATTTCAGAGGGCACCAGTCTGCGTGTGTTCCCTTTCTCCTGGGGAGGACAGCCAATTAACTATCCCACCAAGCTTAGCTAGCAGGAGCTGAAGCCCAGATCCCTCTCTCCCTCCTCCCTGGCAGAGGTCTATGCTCAGCTGTGCAACGTGGCCCGGATTGAGGCAGAGCGGGAGGCTGGGGTCCACTTCCGGCCAGGTTATGAGTATGGCCCCAGCCCAGATGACCTGCACTACAGCCTGTATGGCCAGGAAGGAGCCCCCTTCTACAACTACCTGGGCCCTGAGGACACTGCTGCTGAGCCCCCTTTCCCCAACATAGTCAGCCAGCTGGGGGACACCACACCGGTCCTTGAGTCTCCTCTGCAGCCCTCTGAGCTCCAGCCCTACTATATGGCCAGTCATCCAGGTGTGTTGTTGCAGAACTTGGGAAGAGGTGGGCACTGAAGCTGTCTCCCTTTCACCTTTTCCATCTGTCAGTCATGTCGCCAACAGGGTAAGGATGGGGAAGGGGAAAGATGACCAGCTCAGCCCAGTACAGTCACTCAGGATGAAGTCCAAATGCCCAGCTCAGACCATACCCAGTCCCTGAGCTGAACTAGCACAAGGATGCAAAAATATAGGACATTGTCTCAACCTCAAGCAGTTCTTGTGGGACTTAACAGCAAGAGAGCAGCACACTTGGCTGCAGGAGGCTAGACAGTCTGCTCTAAGCAAACGCAACATTCAAATCTGTGACCTGAAATGTGAAGTAAGGATTTATAGTGACTTCAAATGCTCATTGTGGCCAGGCACAAATGACTCATGCCTGTAATCATAGCTACTCAGAAAGCTGAGATCTGAGAATCACAGTTTAAAGCCAGCCTGGGCAAGAAAGTCCATGAGAATCTTATCTCCAGTTAATCACCAAAAAGTCAGAAGTAGAGCTGTGCCTTACGTAGTAAAGCACCAGCCTTGTGAATAAAAGCTCAGGGACAACACCCAGGCCCTGAGTTTAAATCCCAGGACCAGCATCAAAAATAAACAAAAACAAAAGAACAAAAAAAAAATTTCACTTTGGTGATTCTCCTACCCCCAGTTTTAAAAAAACCAATCTGAAATAATCCAGCTACTGGAGAGGCAGAGTTTAGGAGGGTTGAGGTTCAAGGCTAGCAAGGCAAAAAGTTGCTGAGATGACCCCATCTCAAAGAGTAAACCAGGAATGTTTGTGTATATTTGTGATCCCAGCTACATAGATATGTAGATCCCTTTGGAGGCTGTAGATTGTGGTCCAAGGCTAGCACTGAGCAAAAGCATGAGATCTGCCTTAGAAATTTAAAAAAAAAAAAAAAAAAGGGCTGAGTGAGTGGTAGAGTGCCTATCTAGCAAGACAAAGCCCTGAGTTCAAACCTCAGTAGTAAAAACCAAAAATCAAAACAAAAAATAATACTGTTAATAAATACAGCACTTCTTCCACCTTAGACTTTTCATCTAAAACAACACGAGTATAGCTGTTTATTGTAGCATTTTTTTTGTGAGAATTTATGACCGTCCCTTGTCCATGGAGGTGCTCAACCCACTGAAGAGTTCTGGGGAGATCTGAGCACAAGTTTCAGCCTCTGTCTGACTTCTCTTCTAGCAGAGTTGCCCGTTGCATTTGAAGGGCTTCAGGCAGAGGAGTGTGGCATCCTGAATGGCTGTGAGAATGGCCGCTGTGTGCGCGTACAAGAAGGCTACACCTGCGACTGCTTTGAGGGCTTTCAGCTAGATGCGGCCCACATGGCATGTGTGGGTAAGTTTAGCACATGATGAAGCAGGGAAATGGGAAATGTGCTACTGCCCTCTAGTGGGGCTGCCTGTCAAGCCAGGGGGTGAGTGAGCAAGCCAAAGCAAGGTCTAACAGCGCTGGGAAAGGATGAGTGCATAGTCTTGGGCATACTATGAGTTCACTGCCCTTGCTTTCTACCCTTGAGTTGCAAAGCTTGGGGAGGTGGCTGTCACACTTGGTTCCACTTACGGAGGCCAGGGCATCCTACAGCTTTCTCCCCTCTTTTCTTTTAGATGTGAATGAATGTGATGACCTGAACGGGCCTGCTGCACTCTGTGCCCATGGTCACTGTGAGAATACAGAGGGCTCCTACCGCTGCCATTGCTCCCCAGGTTATGTGGCTGAGGCAGGCCCTCCACATTGTGCTGCCAAGGAGTAGTTTGAGGGGTCTGTGTGGGAAGCTACCTGGAAATGGCCTCCAGCTACAGGCAGGGGCTTGAGAGCACTTTCCTCCCTGGGAAGACACCATGATGACATCAGGCCTGGGCACTGCAGCCAAGCTCCATCAGCTTTGCGTGCTTTCACCTCTGGCTGTGAGCTTCCTCACTGCCTCCATGCCCTTGCTTGGCTCAGACACCACCAAATGCTTTAATGCTTCAGCCACTGGCCACGAGGCCCAGCCCACCACCTGTCCTGGCCTTACTGTGAGATGCTTATCAAAGGCAGCCATATCCATCCCTCAGGCTGTGCACATATGCACAGTGTGAAGCTGTGGCCTCACACTGCAGACACCCCTTTCCAGCCATGATCCATGATGATTCTACAACCAGGACAGGGGCCACATGCCCCCTAGCATGAGCCTTCAGAATCTGTGGAGCAAGGAGTTTGGGAGAATTTGCGGGGTGACTCCAATGCTGCCTCTCAGAACTATCATTGCTGCCCAAGCAATACAGCATGGGCTGTGATTTTGTCATGTCTCCATCCTGTAGCCACTTCTGTGGCTCCTAATGAGGGACAGAAGAGCCCCTCATCTCAGAAAAGCAAGACTGATATTGGCTTGCTGAATGTAATAGACACAAATGAAGAAGAATAAAGGCCTGAGAAAGCAGCAAGAGGGCAATATAAAAATATGGGAAGCTGATATGAAAGGGGGAGACAAGGCTTTTTACAAGCTCAAATAAAGCATTCAGCACCTGGGTAAGTAAATAATCAAAATCTGTCCAGTGATGGCTCCTGTGCACCACCAACAGCAAGATAAAACTGCCCATCTTCAAAGTCCTTCTTACAGGAAACGAATCTCTCCCAGGCTCCCTTTGTAAAAGCTAAACTGATGTGCTAAGAATAAAATGGTCTGTTTTCTAGTGTGGTCTTACTCAAAGAAAGCCAGATTTCTAATGTGGTTCTTCTCTCTACTCAGAAGACCGTCCCCCCTTGCCTTCCCCTCCAGAAAATGGAAGTCTAGAACCCCTCTGGCTTTCCAAGCAGAGACTCACTTCAACCCAGGCTCACTTGGAGTTCAGAATCACAATGGAATAGAGAAATGCACATTTTTTGCTCTTCTGGCTTTTATTTACTCTTAGACCAAATTTCTTTACAATGTTGGCTAAATCTAAACATTACAGATGAGACTGTACCAACCCCAGCTGACCAGCTCCGCCAACAGCCTATGACTGTATTCAAGTGGGAAAAAGTTCTTACTAAAAGGCAAACTCTGACCTCATTTCTCTGGTGAATGGCAATGTAGAAGAAGGCTACAAGTGACTGAAGATATGGAGATGAACACTACTTTCTTAATTTAATCTGATTTGTCCTACCTGCTGCTCTGGTTGTCAGCCATCATATAACTATTAAATACTTCCCACATGCCAGGAACTGTGTTGAATGCTATGCATACATTGTATTTAATCATCCCAATTTATTTTTATTCCCAATTTACAAGTTAGGAGATTTAGATACAGATAGCTTAAATGATTTGCTCTAGGTCACTATACTAGTTGAGGTTCTTGCCAGATAAAAATAAATGATTCTTAAGCCCATGAAAATATTCTTTTATTCATAATTTTAAAAAATGCAACTTGCATCCAGGTGCCAGTGGCTCACACCTGTAATTCCAGCCACTCAGGAGGTTGAAATCTGAAGATCACAGTTTGAAGACAGCCCATGCAGGAAAGTCCATGAAACTCTTATCTCCAATTAACCACAAAAAGCTGGAAGTGAAGCTGTGGCTCAAGTGGTAAAGTGCTAACCTTGAGCACAAAAGCTTACCAATAGCGACCAAGCCCCAGAGTTCAAGCCCCTGGCGGGGTGGAGGAAGAGGAGGGATGGGGGAAAGGTTAGGGGAGAGGAAAAGCAACTTGCTAGGCATATACCTGTTGTCTTAGCACTTAAAAGGCAGAGGCAGGATTGACAATTTGAGGCCAGCCTGGGCCTATACAGCAAGACCCTATCTCACAAAACTGAGAGTTGGGTGTAGCTCAGTAATAGAGTGCTGGCCTAACACAAAGCCCTGAGTTTGATCCTAGCACCACAAAAAACAAACAACAACAACAAAAAATACAAACCGGGAAATAGACACTGTCATGCCAGCTGATGGGAGTATAAACCTCTCAAGAAGAAAATATGGCAATGTCTTCCAAAATTACAACAGCAGCTAACTCTATATCCACTTCTAGGAAGTTCACTTTATATATACTCTCACCAAATGTGAAACGACATAAATAAGAGGTTATTTATTAAAGCATTATTGGCAATAGTAAAAGATTAGAAATACTATAGAAACAAACAAAACTCTTTACATACCTTGATATCCAAAGAGGTGTATGCCATTTGTCTAAAGAAGAAAGTGGATAGCTGTTAACCACATCCTTGACACGCCACCATCCTGAGAATTACTTACATGATTCCCCCACATAGATGCTGCTCCCTCATCTCCTCCCTCCAACCCAATGCTTACCTTCCTCTTCATCCATATGGACATATTGGATGTACATACACCTATTTCCTTTCATTAAGAACACAAATGGCATACCATATATGGTACTCAGCTCTTTATTTAAATTTTTATGCAAGCCAATTTTGTACTTTGCTTTTTTTCACTCTATGCTTTTGCATAAAAAATTGTCTTACAGGGGCTGGGAAGGTGGCTCAGAGGTAGAGCACTTGCCTTGCATGCATGATTCGATTCCTCAGCACCACATAAGCAAAAAGAAAAAAGCCAGAAGTGGTACTGTGGCTCAAGTGGTAGAGCGCTAGCCTTGAGCTGAAGAGCTGAGGGACAGCGCCCAGGCCCAGAGTTCAGGCCCCACGACCGGACCCCAAAAAACAAAAAAGACAGTAGAGAGTAAGGAAAGGAGGAACAAAGAAAACAGATTGCTTGTACCATGCTAAGTATTAAGCCTAACTGATAGGTAAATCCTAGGAATTGAGAAGTACAGGCTTTGTGATTTACAGTATAGCTATGCTGGTGCTTAAGAATATATCTAATACTAGAGAGTACATCCATGTATTGTAATGGCATACTTGTTTAGAGTATGCAGATATTTCATTCTTTATTTTCTTCTTAGATACTCAGTCTAAAAACAGCACAGCCTTGGTGCGTGGCATCCTGTTTGGTGTCCCTGTCCCCTTTCCCATTCCTGAGCCTGATGGTTGTAAGAGTGGAATCAGCTGCCCCATCCAGAAAGACAAGACATACAGCTACCTGAATAAACTGCCAGTGAAGAATGAATACCCCTCGGTAAGTGACAGCTTGAGGGCACTGGATGCCTTGGGGCTGAATTAAAAACCTGAGGGCAGGATGTGGGAAGCCAAAGGGTAAAGGGCCTTTTCTCTCTAGTGAAGTACCAAAATCCTGAGGGGGAAGAGGTAGGTTTTCATACTAAGAATTAAGCCGGGCGCTGGTGGCTCACACCTGTAATCCTAGCTACTCAGGAGGCTAAGATCTGAGGATCGTGGTTCAAAGCCAGCCCAGGCAGGAAAGTCTGTGAGACTCTTATCTCCAATAAACTATTAGAAAACCGGAAGTGGCGCTGTGGCTCAAGTGGTAGAGCGCTCGCCTTGAGCTGAAGAGCTGAGGAACAGTGAGTGCCGAGGCCCAGAGTTCAAGCCCCATGACCGACCAAAAAAAAAAATTAGGAAATAGGGCAGACATTTTTCTCTTTTTTGGGGGGTGGGGGGTCCGGTCGTGGGGCCTGAACTCTTGGTCTGGGTGCTGTCCCTCAGCTCTTCAGCTTATGTGGTGCTGAGGAATCGAACCCAGAGCCATAAGCATGCAAGGCGAGCACTCTACCACTGAGCCACCTTCCCAGCCCATGGGCAGACATTTTTCATTATGTGCCTTTGTTCTTTCACTAGAGCCTAGTGCTGTGTTTCATATACATTTCACGTGATCCTTATGCCCTTCACATACAGAAGTGATATTATCTCTGTTTTACAGATGAAGAAATTTGAACTTCTTGATTTTACTCCATCAATAATTGTGGCAGCCTTTCAGGGCATTGGTAGCTCATACCTATAATCCTAGCTACTCAGGAGGCTGAGATCTGAGGTTTGTGGTTCAAAGCCAGCCCGGGCAGGAAAGTCTGTGAGACTCTTATCTCTATTTAACTGTCAGAAGACCAGAAGTGGTGCTGTGGCTCAAGGTGGTAGAGCACTAGCCTTGAGCAAAAGAGCTCAAGGTCAGCACCCAGGCCCCACAACTGTCAAAAAAAAAAAAAAATATATATATATATATATATATATATATATCCGCTTAGCTTTAAAGCTAGGTCTTATAACCCCAAAACAATATTAAAAGACTTTGGCCAAGTACCAAGTAATTAAAGGACCAAGCTGTCTTAGCAACAACATTAGAAAACCCCAGTTTTTCCATCAATCTTTTTTTTGGGGGGTGGAGGGGGAGAGTCTGTTGTGGGCCTGAACTCTCGGCACTGTCCCTCAGCTCTTCAGCTCAAGGCTATCTCTCTACTTGAGCCACAGGACCACTTCTGGCTTTTTCTGCTTATGTGGTGCTGAGGAATCGAACCTAGGGCCTCATGCATGCAAGGCAAGCACTCTACCACTGAGCCACCATCCCAGCCCCTTTTCTAATCAGTCTTTTAGCCAGAGAGCAAAGAAGTGTGTTAGCTCCACAGCAGAGACATTTAAGTAATGATGACATTTCCTTCCTTTCTTCCCCTCTCCAAACTCCACCTTCACTCCCTGCTTTACCTACTTCTTTTTCTGCCTCTGAGTAGGTAGTGCTAGAATGGATATGTATCAAAGATATCAATTGAAATAAGAAGAGAAAAAAAAATTACGTACTTACTTTTTTCCAAAAAAAATAGCTACATTTATTTTTAATTTCATTTTATTTTTTGGACAGTTGTGGGGCTTGAACTTGGGGCCTCGGCACTGTCCCTGAGCCTTTTTTACTCAAAGCTAGCACTCTACTACTTTGAGCCACAGTACCACTTCTGGTTTTCTGGTGGCTAATTGGAGCCTCATGAAGCTGGGCGCGGGTGGCTCACACCTGAAGAGACTGAAAACTGGAAGTGGCACTGTGGCCCGAGTGGTAGAGTGCTAGCTTTGAGCTGAAGAGCTCAGGGATAGCACCCAGGTCCAGAGTTCAAGCCCCATGACTAACAAAAAAAAAGAGTATCAAGGACTTTTCTGCCTGGGCTGG